TTTTGATCTATTGTAACAGTCGCTCACAACACACGATACCCTATGGCGAGGTGCAAAGTGAATACGATCATGCTTCATCTGCACGCAAGCAATGAACCTCAGCGCCCTGCATACTACCAAAAACTCGTGAACGACGTTGTTGAGCACATGGCGCTTTTGCCCGGCAGAGGAATGCCTCGCTTGGATGGCTACCTGCGAGCTGTGCTCGATACCAACAAGGCTTCGAGCGGTCTTGTCAAACTTGTTCACAAGACGAGGCAATCTACTCAAACTTCGTTGGTGCGACAACTGGTTTATGAAAAGGCTAGTGACATTCCCTATCTTCTTTCTTTGCATATGGTTGCTGTACAGTCTATGCTGAGGGCGGAGGCAGCTGCCTTCGTGCCTCGCATGCAGCGTCCTAAAGATGGTGTAGAGATTCATCCGGCCGAGAAGGAGAACTTAAATCTGGTTCCCCAGGAGGCGGATAGAGAGGAAGTAATGGAGAAAGAAGTTTCAGTGATTGTTGATTCTGAGGCCACTGATGACATGGAAGATATGGACGAAGCGGTCACATCTCTCACATCCCTCGACCTTGTGCCAGACGAGTCTCTTCGCTCCAACGGGCCATCGGAAGAGCAGGCCTTGGCAGCTCGCACGATTCAGTATGCATATCGATATCACGTTTGGCGACGTTCAGGCTCTGCTGTAGATGCACAACTCCATGCGATATCCACGACATGCCTCATGGAGATGCAGTCCTCTAAATGGCGTCCAAGTTATTATCGTCTTCTTTTCCTCGGACCATTGCCCCACCTTCTGGCTGGAACAAGGCATTGTGCTAACTCATGCTGCCAAAATAAAGACGAAAGACCCTTTCAACACCGAGTCTCATGAAAAGCTTGAGGAGTTGGGCAGGCCGAGAAGCGAGATCACGTCAGTCAAGACTTACCCAGCGTCATGCAATGATTGATGTGCAGTCTTGTTTAGGTTGCTCCTAAAAAAGGCATGCAATTGCGCGGTAAGCTAGAGCCTTCTTCACCAGATCATCATACCCGGGACATCGACGCTCTCAAATGCGCGGTGTTAGAGGTCGGACAATTTATTTAGAAAATTCCCGGCAGCACGATGGATATGCAAACTAAGTTCCAGATGGCTTATAAGGGAATCGTTGCAGAGAAGAAACTATTTCACGTGCGAAATGAGAGACCTGTTCTCAACGTCGAGGACCTAGATCCCATTGTTTGAAGACGGTAAATATTTGTTACCAAATTCCGTGACATGCTTGGTCTTAGTTTCCTGTAGTAGTCGTTCTTTCTTTATTATCTCCAACTTGCAAATAGGACCACTAGGCATCTCCATAATTTACCGGCGCCAACTTGCGAGTCCCGACATCAAAATTCAATCTTCAATCTTCAACTTGTCTTCAACACTACAAATTCTGAAAATACACAAGCGATGTGAACAATGCAAGATAACAAGACAGCATGACATCTAGTACATAAAATCGACAGTTTCAGACCTGGGACTGAGATGACCCTGTAACTTCGATGAGGCGTTCCTTTGTGCGTAGGTCAGGTGCCGAATACACGAAAATCACTAAAAACACACCTGTGCAAGTTTCTGCCCTTCGAATAACATAAGGAGACAGGACCGCAAGCCCTTCAAACACCATTGCCTTTCAAGCCAGAAGAGGAGGTGGCGATCCCAGAAGACCTTGAATGCACAGTTGAGCCGGTGGTCCGTTGGATTCGGAGCTCGCGAGAGATGGAAGACCCAGTTTTGACATGCATACTTCAAGGCGTCCGAAGATAATCGACTTTGATCCCGTGCTTCGTTTGCGAAAATCGTGAACGCGGTCATAGTATGAATGACCTCGATGTCTGGACAATCTTGTAGGGATGCAGAGGTAGAATGATCATGGGGCCTTAATGACAGGAATGCCGGAAACATCAAAAATCTGGTAAGCTCTTAAACTCCTGGATTACTCGAAAAGCTGGCGGGAAAGGCAATCGTGGGATGATTGCACACTCATTGATTGTTTCCAATGTGCTCGAAAAGTCTTCCATTGTCATCCAGACAGACGCCGTAGGAGTCAACTGCCATGCTTGACCATGGGGGGTCTGTAGCCACTCTCGTCCACTCTCGGTCTGCAGCCACTCTCGTCCACCCATGGTCGGCAGCCACTCTCGTCCGCTCTGGCTCAGCAACCACTCTTGCCCACTTTTTGTCTGTAGCCATTCTTGGCCATGTCCAGTCTGCAGCCCACCTGGGGTCCGCAGCCACTCTCGTCCGCCCAAAGTATCCAGCCATTTTTGCCCTCCTAGGGTCGGGAGCCAATCTTGCCCACTCTGAATCAGTAGCCACTCTTGCCCACTCTGGGTTAGGAGCCATTCTCGCCCGTAAATGGTGTCCAGCCATGCATGCCCGATTGGAGTCTGCAATTCATTTAGAGTCTGTAGGCGGTCGTACCCACTCCGGGTGTCAAGCCACTCAATCCCACTTTGTGTCTCCAGCCACGGCATCCCGTGCTGTGTTTTCAGCCACTCCCTCGCGCTTGGTGTTTCCAGCCACACCATCCCATGTCGTGTTTTTAGCCACTCCCTCCCGCTATGTGTCTCCAGCCACTCCCTCCCGTTGGGTGTCTCCACCCACCCCCTCGCGCTGGGTGTCTCCAGCCACTCCCTCCCATTGAGTGTCTCCAGCCACTTCCTCGCGCTGGGTGTTACCAGCCACTCCCTCCCATTGAGTGTCTCAATCCACTCCTTCGCGCTGGGTGTCTCCAACCACTCCCTCCCATTGAGTGTCTCAATCCACTCCTTCGCGCTGGGTGTCTCCAACCACTCCCTCCCGTTGAGTGTCTCCATCCACTCCCTCGCGCTGGCTGTCTCCAGCCACTCCTTCCCCCTGGGTGTCTCCAGCCACTGCCTCCCGCTGCGTGTTTGCAGCCGCTCCCTCGCGCTGGGTGACTTCAGCCACTCCCCCCCGCTTGGTGACTTCAGCCACTCCCTCCCGCTGAGTGACTTCAGCCACTCCCTCCCACTGGGTGTCGCCAGCCACACCATCGCGCTGGGTATCTCCAGCCACTCCCTCCCACTGGGTGTCTCCAGCCACTCCCTCCCGCTGGGTGTCTCCAGCCACTTCCTCCCGTTGGGTGTCTCCAGCCACTTCCTCCCGCTGGGTGTCGCTAGCCACTTCCTCGCGCTGGGTGTCTCCAGCCACTCCCTCCCGTTGAGTGTCTCCAGCCACTTCCTCGCGCTGGGTGTTACCAGCCACACCCTCCCATTGAGTGTCTCCAACCACTTCCTCCCACTGTGTGTCTCTATCCACTCCCTCCCGCTGTGTGTCTCCAGCCACTCCCTCGCGTTGTGTGTCTCCAGCCACTTCCTCCCGCTGTGTGTTTCTATCCACTCCCTCCCGCTGTGTGTCTTCAGCCACTCCCTCGCACTCGGAGTCTGTAACCACTCTCGTCCAGGCATGGTCTGCAGCCACTCACCATGTGTTTGCAGCCATTCTCGTCCACTCAGGGTCTGTAGCCATTCTTGGCCGCTCTGAGTTTGCAGCCACTCTCGTCCCCTCTGGGTCTGCAGCCATTCTCGGCCACTCGGGGTCTGTTGCAGCCACAATTGTCCGGTCGGGGTCTGAAGCCACTCTTCCCCACGTCGGCTCTGCAGCCACTCTCCTCCAGTTTCGGTCTGCAGCCACTCCCCCCCTTCCTGCGTCCGCAACCATTTTTGCCCTGTCTTGGTCTGCAGCCAGCCTTGCCCATTGATGGTCTCCAGCGAAGTTTTCCCGCTCCACATCTCCAATGGTATATACTCGCCAGAGTCTCCAGCGACTTGTCCCCGTCTTTGAGTCCACAGCCACCCTGGCCCACTCTGCAGCCACCCTCGCCCTCTCTCTTTCTGCAACCAAGTGTGTCCCACGTGGGTCTGCAACCAATCCCTCCCGGCCTGGGTCTGCAGCCAGTCTTCCCCCTTCGGTGTCTGCAAATAGTCTTCCCCACATTGGGTCTGCAGCCACGCACGTCCATCCAAAGTCCCTAACCAGGACCGCAAACCCGACCCGCGAGCTCCCCGAAGCCATAACAGTCCCATGAGAACTGTCAGCGGCTCTGGTGGCTCAACGATGAAGGCTAACGATTGTTGCAAGTTTCGGGGGTCATGGGGTTGCATAGCCTGATTCTGTGACTTCAATTCTAAGAGCGCATCCATGAGAGCAGTGTGTTCTGGAATGTCTTCAATCATCAAGCGGAAAGACGAATACGCTAGCAGGGAATGTGGTAGGATGGGTTGTAATCCAGGGAGGCTGCAGTTCGAGGAGTTTGAAGCGTAGTCTCGAATGGACGAGTGGTAGATATTCACGGGATGGCTGCTGTCAGCGGGGATATCCATGAAAGAACGTAGCTGTTTCAGCGTGGTCGCGACATCGCTGCCTTGACCAGGACCAAGGAGCTTCGAAATCTGTGAGATTGGCAGAGGGTCTGCGAGGGCAGCAACAATGGACAAGTGCTGGTATGCCCGATTGGGGTCCGAACAGGTGGAGAGGATGCGGTTGTATAGCTCGTGCACTTCCGTCCCAGGTAGCAGTTCATTGGTCAGCTCAAGCATTAGCTTAAGGCGATCCCGGGGGTCATTATATCCGTCATCGACGAACTTCATCATTGTAGATGCCACGATGAAACGTCTGCCAGCTCGGTTCGCCAGCCGCGTAAGTTTATCCGCAGTGGGCTGAGGGAAATCAGGATGGCGATTTCGCAACTCCGTGAAGGAATGCTGCAAGAATGTACAGATGTCATTGTCCACATCTTCGCCGTCTAATGAAATGGTGCCAGCAACGCCCTCCCCAGAAGTGTTCACCGGTATCTCGTACACTAGCGTGCGCATCTCTTCTTTTTGAATGGCTTTGCGGATATGTTCCTCCAAGCGACTGGTGAGCAGAATGTGGAACACGGGAAGTTCAGGATCACGAAGAGCTTCACCGAGGAGTGAGATCAGATCGGCGACCATTTCAGGTGTTTCAGGTTGACATTCATCGAGGGCATCAACAACAAACACCGGAGGCGGACACTCGCGCAGCCTGAATTGCAGGTGCCAGAGAGGTCGACGAAATAACGCCATCATTTGGTCGCGAAGAGACTCGCTGGAGTCTAGAACCGCAGGAGTCTTGCGGATAGCTTCGTTCACGTCCTTCTCAACGCTGGGAAAATTGCTCGCAAGCTGGTAAGCAAGGGTCGCAAAGAAATGACCGGTCGTGCTGCGTTTCGTGTGCTTGCGCGAGAAAAAGAATGTTCCCGCGAGCCTTGTTTCAATATTCGTCTCCTCTATCACCTTCAAACCTTTCATTCTCTCGGCCACAGTGAACGCCACGGCAGACTTTCCGACGCCCGCCGTGCCATGCAGCCAAATGATCTGACTCTTCTCTCGCTTGTCCAACAATCCGCAGATGAATGTGAGAAGGTCCACTCGGGTCCCTTTCAAACATTTCGGATGGGGCTGGCGTTCAGGGGAGTCATATTTAGCACCCAGGACAGCGACCTGGGACAGCTTCTCCCAAATTCCTTCTGTCATTGCTAGAAGGTCTGTCAGTCGGGTCAGAGAGCGAGAGAGGTGATAAGGGAAGGATGTATTTACATCGAACTCAGTCGCTTATCGACGTTGATGTGAGAATGCGACACAAAATGGGAATTGGAATAGGTCAAGTCGGGGAAACACTAGTGCAGTTCATCGGTGTAATTAGAAATCACGATGGGGATGGATGTCACAGTGAGGACGACATACGGCGTTAATTGAGGAGTCGAATCAGTCGATGTCTAAGTTGTAACTTCGTTTGAAATCAAAAGGGTTTAAGTGGTGATGGTGAAACGATCAAGCAACAGAGATATCACAGGATGCTTGAGATAGAATGGATGGTTGATTGTGATTGTATTCAGAGTCGATAGATGGCTCGTGGTTGCACTTTGCAATTGAGTTGAAAAGATAAGCGGGCGCTTGTCTGGCTGCAAGGTCCGACCAGCCGGAGGGCACGAGGCTGTTGCACAGGAAGTTTAGGGTAAGTACTAACCAAAATTCGACTTGGAGAATGTCAAAGTTGAATTCCAGACCTACGCATACGCTGGTATACGCGTACGTACCATCCGGCGTCGACCATATTGGATGCATGATCACATCATGAACTTTTGCTGTATCATGGCATGGACCGCATGGTAAGTGTAATTGCTCTATAACTTGCATCCGCAACCTGAAGTGAGCCTGAGGCCTGAGAGGCCTGAGTGCTGCTGCTAAGCGAGCGAGCGACGGAAATATTAGTCATGTGCCAGATAATTTGATCTACAGCGAAGGATTTTGATTAGCGCCACCAGTATGTAAATAAAGGCAGTATCCTGTGGTACTATGTATTCACCACCTATCATAAAAATGTTGTCTGCAAGTTCCTACAAGTATTGTATCTATAGTTGGACTCCAACTTCGAGTTCTCTGCTCTTGAGCGGCAGTCGTTTGACGAGACTGTATCTTGACATCTATTTTGTAGTGTAACATAGCATCTCAAAATATTATAACCTAAAAAAGAGTATGACGTCTTGGTTAATAGCCATGAACGAGTGAATTCAAGGCAGCGCCTGATGGAATCTGAAATTCATCAGTCCCACTGCTAATCATCTTGCCGCCCTTCCTCGATAGCCGCCCTTGCGCACGGACGACATCTTGCATCCGTTGCTCTGCAGTCGCCGACATCATGATTCGTAGGTTTAGTAGGACGCGAGCCACGACCTTTGGATGCACTAGATATTTTATTTTTTCCCGTCAGTAATCGTCTTCGGCGCCTTCACGCAGCGCGAATGCTTTTGCCTAGATGACCGATGTGAAGATGCCGAACGTGGAAGATATGCTTCTCGTTCGAGGGATGGGTCGCATATGCTCTCATATGCGAGGTAAATGCCCTCCGAGCAAGTTCAGCGTTCTACAAAAAGGCGTCAACGCACGTTCAACTTCACTCCAAATCGGAATTACCTCTTTGCGCCGCAAAACCCACCGCTCGAAAGAAAGCTGCACTTCTGTCGCGCGCGCCTCGTACTCGGAGCCTTTTCCGCCAAAACCCTTCGCCAAAACGTTTTCGATGCTTGCTCCTTCGAGGGTGATGTTGACTTTGTCGTGGTCGGAGTTTTCTCCCGTTATATCGCCCTTCATCTTCACTCCCACCCATTTAACCCATTCGGATTCGCTGGGTGCGACGATGCTCCAAGCTTCGCCGCCCTTTCCTGCACGTGCTGTCCGTCCCACTCTGTGCACGTACTCGGTCGCACCGCCTTCAGTTGGCAGGTCGTATTGAATGACTGCGCGAACGAGGGGTAGGTCGAGACCACGGGATGCCACGGACGTGCAGAGGAGAATGGACGACGCGGGTGCAGGTTTTTTGGACTTTGAGGAAGGAATGGCTGAGAATCCGCGTAGAGAGGCGAGACGGATTGGTGTGGGAAGGGAACCGTGAAGTCGGAAGATTGAGGCACCTGGAAGGAGCGGAGACCGTGCAGCAATTTTATTTTCTTCCTCTACTTTCTCCTCCTCAACAGATTCATCTGCCTTGCTATCTGCCCCGTCTTCGGATTCTGCATTTCCAGCCTTCTCACCGTCCATCGACGAATCGCCTAGCAAGCGCCAGTGAAAGTCGACGGAGTCTGTGCAGCTGAGGAATACGATGATTTTCGAACCTTTTTGACCTTGTGTCTGAGCGAGCAATGAGCGGAGAAGTGCGACCAGTGCGACAAGACGCATCTTGAGGGGAACGATGACGTATTTTTGAGAGAGTTGTGATGGGGGAGTGAATTTCTCGGTGCTGGTGGTAGCTGGCTCGTTGTCGTTTTTTGATGCAGGCGAATCCTCCGCCTTCTCTTTGTCGAGGCCCTTGATTATCAACGGTCGTCTTAGAGTAGTGCCTGCCAATTTCTGCACGTCTTCGCGGATGGTAGCCGAACAGAGTATTGTCCGTCTCTCCCGGTCCCAGTCCCAACCCCCAACCTCAAATGTCTTACCGTCCTGAACAGCTTGGAACGCAAGCTTCCTCCTCCCATCCAGACCCTGCACGATCCCTTTGATAGTATCTTCAAACCCAAGCTCCATCAAGCGGTCCGCTTCATCGAGAACTAACCATCGGCACTTTCCAACGTTGAACGAAGACGTATTTTGCAGGTGGTCTAGTAGGCGACCTGGAGTCGAGACAAGGATGGGCACACCTTTCCGTAGACGCGCCTTCTCGTGCGCACGGGTTGCGCCTCCACTTAGCAAACCAGAGACTAACCACCGGGTATAACGTGTAGAACTCTCCGTATTCTCCTGTTCGCCGTCTGGGCGTAGCCTAAGTGTCAATAGCGCCTCCAAGACGTCGGAAATTTGTTTTGCAAGTTCACGAGTGGGTGCGATTATAATTGCGAGCGTCCCTATCGAGCGGTCGATGTAAGAGTGTGTACTTAGGGGGAGAAGATCCTGGATTATGGGTAGGAGGAATGCCATAGTCTTTCCGGAGCCAGTTTGCGATTGTATAAAAACATCGCGTGTATTCAGTGTCCTCGGAAGAAGGTTTCGTGAATATAGGAAGGGCAGCACGTTGAATGGATGTCGGTTTCGTGATACTCATCTTGGATTGTAGGTGAGTGACGAGGAGAGGATGAAGACCCAGGTCCGCGAATGTGGCTGAGCCGGTCAATGGTGCATTGCTCGGTTTAGAGGGCACTTTTTGGATAGCGGAGGGTAGTGGGGGCCTCAACTTGAGGGTTATACGAGAATAGAGACGAGATTATCTGAGTCGGAGGCCTAGCTGGAAGTGCCGGACGGTCCATTGCAGGAGCTTTGGTAGCAGGCGGGGGGATGTCAGGTCGCATCCGCTTTGCGGGACGAGAATGGTCATCATTATCGCTGCCAGGATGATGGTCAGGCTGGTCGGTCCTGCGTTTCTGGACTCGTTTAGCCTTTAACCTAGGCTATGATGATTAGCTGCATACATGAAATCAAACTTCAGCTCACCTGTCCGTCCAGCGACCGGATTTTTTTGATGCTAGCTTTGTTGGTCCTACAGATGCATCCTCTGCAATATTGAGGACAAGTTCATCGTCCATTTCCCCCTGCGGCGCTGATATCAATATTGTATAAACTTCAGTCTTGATCGTTAGAACTGCGAGTTAAACAAAAATGGAATGTTGTTCCCACATCTGATAACCTTTCTCAAGTCAAATTAGTTTGAACACGTCTCCCTTCACACCTTTACTACTTTGTTCCACAATGTTCGGTCGTGTTTCTCTTGCGCTCGTTTTAATTTCTATAGCCGCATTTTTCTGTGCGCAATCTGCGGATGCTGCCAAGGGCCCCAAAATCACCCATAAGGTCTACTTCGATATCAGACATGGTGACAAGGACATAGGTCGAGGTTTGTGTTATGTTGAGACCGCCGTGGGACATACATCTGACGGGGCTCGAATGTTTAACAGTTGTCATTGGTCTTTATGGCGGAGTACGTCGCCTTACCTATTCTGACAGATATGTGGTTGACTCATCTCCCCGCAGACCGTTCCAAAGACAGTCGAGAACTTCCGCGCACTTGCGACTGGTGTCGGCAAGGATGGTCAGGAGCTTGGCTACGGTTACAAGGGCTCCAAGTTCCACCGCGTTATCAAGAACTTCATGTGAGATTCATGTCCGTTCTTTTACGGACATTCACCTGATATCCTCTTGCCAGGATCCAAGGCGGTGACTTCAGTATGTGTACCATCGTTATCTCATGTGTTCTGAAGCCAACTTGATGTAATCTCACTAGCTCGTGGCGATGGCACCGGTGGAAAGGTAATTTGGGACCCGTCTTAGCATGAACGTTGCTTACGGAGGTCCTGCAGTCTATTTACGGTGACCGTTTCAAGGATGAGAACTTGTAAGGTTTCGTGATCATACTCATGTCTTCGACCCTGACGTCTGCTTCAGCAAGCTCAAGCACGCCGGACCCGGCACTCTTTCCATGGCTAATGCAGGCAAGGACACCAACGGTAGGCATGTTTTCTCCCATCGTTCATGTCATCTAACATAGTGCTCTAGGATCTCAATTCGTAAGCTTGTGATTGCTCTCAACAAGCTTTACTGAGTAGTTTTCCAGTTCATTTGCACTGTAGTCACCAGTTGGTTGGACGGTAAACATGTGAGTTTGGCGCTAGTTTCACCACCGCATTATTTGAGCTCTGTCAAAACAGGTGGTCTTCGGAAAAGTCCTGGAGGGAATGGACATTGTATACGCTATTGGTTTGCTTTATTTATTACCTCTACACTCACCAAAGTTCTCATTTCTACTCAAGAGGACGTTCCCAAGGGCAGCAATGATCGTCCATTGGAGGATGTCACCATCTACGACTCTGGAGAGGTTTGTTATTATACTTGTGTGATGCGCAGCGTATTCATCCCACGTTTCTAGCTACCAGTTGAGCCAGTGGTGGATGAGACAGGAAATGAGGTACCCCTACGCGCTGAGCTATGATTCAGCTGTCTCTGTGTCCCTTGAGCTCTTGATGCGAATAAAATGTTGTTGCTTGCCAACAGGACATCGCCACTGTACCCGTGAATTCCGTAACTTCGTCAGCCGATGCTGAATTGCCCGCCTCTACACCCACCTCACCAGCATCTGACGAGAAGACAAGCCCTGTGGAGTCTACTCCCTCTCCAGTTGTGGATGCCACTCCTGAGGTTGTGGATGATGTTTCTGGGTCGTCGGAGCGTCTGAAATATGCTGCCATCTTATTTGTGGTGGTCGTGGTTGGAGTGGGGATGTTTGTTTTGTGTGGTGACAAACTCGGTCGTTTGAAAGGCTGTTTGCAACGTGCAGATCGCGCGCATTACAAACGTGTCGGGGACGAGGATTTGGAGAAGTAAGTGCAGTTGATATTGACGTTTCGAGTTGGCGGAATATACCAGGTTGTGCAATGTACCATATATATATCTTGCTTGGCTAACATAACTAGTCCTGTCGTTCCTTCGCAAGTCCGTTATCGGGACTCTTTTTCCCGAGGTGGCACGACTTAGTGTTCGAACGTCCTTCCTTTCCTTCAAGTCTCCTCTTCCTCTACCTGCCAGTGCGCCTAGACTACTTCATTAGCATAGCAAATACTATGTGCACTAATTATTTTACATGGGTATGCTGTAGATTCTAATGCGTTTCCGTGTGTTCACTGACAAGTGTCTTCGTGAAATCCAGCTCCTAATATGAAAATTATTAGGCCCATTGTCCTAGTCAATCGAGCAAACAGTCCACGAAACAATCAAAAGTGAAGCCAAAACGATCGCTCAGTACTCAAGTACTCATCTCTCGCCTCGTTATCACATTCGAGTCTATAACCCCTATCGGTGCTGCAATGACTCTGTTATGTTTGGCACAAAAAGCTGGGACGGGCGGCCACGGAGTAATAACCTGCCCGATACTTCCAGGACGAATACAAGTCAAGTAGACGTGTTGAATATAGCCTAGGAAGAGAAAGGCAGTGACGCCATCCGTCCCCGTTATTCTCAAGCTGTGAAAGTCAAGACAGGTGATTCTGCGATCAAAGGATAGCTGCCTAGTTTCAACCTGGGGAGAATTCCCTAGGTAGCCAGCACATGTATTGCAATCGCCAAGTGAAGGTTCCGATGTCTTGACTCTGGGGTCTGTTAACTTACCATAGCATCAAGCAGGAATACAGGTCGTGCATGTGTGGCCCACCCCTCGATTATACTTACAGGCCTTGCAAGAGCACACATACACTGACGTCGCGAGCGTGATGAGTTAGTGCTTCCTACCAAAAATATAGTGGTGTAGTGTGATATTGTTGATTTGCTTGGCAGTCACTGGCACTTCGAAAGCATGTTATTAAATTTGAAAGTTCTAAAAGCTTCCGAGCTAAATGCAAATAGACCGAACATAGCCGATCTTTGGCCATGGTGTGGAAGAAAGAGTTCTGACATTGGCGAGGTGAGTCCAAGAGAGATGTTGAATGCCAGACATTGAAAATGACCTGTGATGCGTCCATCTCGACTGCTACAGCCACTATATGCAGACTTTGGCAATGAACGTTTGAACATTTGAAACACTCAAGCTCCGACAGAATATTTTGATCCTGGAATATCCGGGACATCTGAGACATCCGACCCATGCTGACTTAGCATCACGTGTAGTTCCCACGTACCTGATACGACAGCAACGTGTACACGAGAACCAAAATAGGTAAGTACGCTTGCGCGCTCACTGCGTGCATTGCCAGAACCTTCATGCTCGCTGTTGCACACAGTGAGCTCAATTATTTGACCATTTTCACACATTTTTCGTAATTCTTTTCACTGTATCATGTCATATGCCGTCCTCCACATCATCCCTTGGGCCTCAAACCATTCTAAAAAGGCTCCTGAAAGTCAACAGTGTGCCAGGAGAGTGTTCTACCTGCAAGTGCTAGCTGGGTACTAGTAGCAACCATGCCAGTCATGGTGTCAGCCGCGACACACGCGGTGGCGCTGTGGGTCACATGGTATGTTGTGACTGTGAGATTTGCATTATACATGCAAGTGAGTCGATGGGCTGGATGTCTCGGATGTCTCAGATGTCTCAGATGTCCCGGATATTCCAGGATCGAGATGTCCTCAGCTCTGAATGGCGCTGCACAAATTTGGAAATTGAGATCACATATGTTGATTTGATCATGGATAACAGTCGTGCATGTGTGACCCACCCCTCAAAGATACTCACAGGCCTTGCAAGTAGCATGGAAGAGCACACGCACACCGACGTTGCGAGCGTGATGAGTTAGTGCTTTCTACCAGCAAAAATATAGTATGATATTCCTGATTTGCCGATCAACGCTGCTCGCCAGACAAGTCACAATTGGCAGAAGGTGGCAGTCACTGGCACTTGGAAAGCATGTTCAATTAAAGTTGAAAGTTCTTGCAAAAGCTTCCAAACTAAATACAAATAAACTGAACATATGTTCAACTGCCAATCTCAAGAGTTCTGACATCAGTGAAAACAGTGAACAACACCAGGTGAGTCCGAGAGACGATGTTAAATGCGAGTGTTCAAGAGCGCTTTATTACCCATGAAGCAGGGCATAATAGTACTCCAGGAACAACAACCACATCCACCAAGTCAGCAATGGGCTACATATTGTGCCATCAGCCACAACACCAATCAGCAAGCGGAAACATGACTCACTCTCCAGATGTACTCATGAACAGACTGAGCCTACCAATTGCACAACTTGTAACCTTGAGGCTATTAACATTGCAAGGTGCATGGGATGAGCAATAGGGTTGAATCATGGATGCAAAGCAAACTACTCATACTCACCGACCTTAAATCACAGCGAAAGTTACCGCAACAATCACTGTCAATATTGCAGGTCCCAAATTGGGGACTGCATGCAGTGACAGTCATACATGCTGCCAAAGCACTGGTGATGACGACGATGAAGGACAGATGCATGATTTATGCAAAGTGATAAAAGCTTTGCAAGAGGGACTCTGCATTACTCTGAGGTGGACAGTGCTTGCTTTTATATCCTGAAAATAGGGTTATGAGCAAAACTGGTGAGTTGGTTTGGCAGATCAGTTATGGCAGAACTTCACGGCAAAATATTTAGAAGAGCCTATAGCTAACAAAGTCCCAGAATGAACGGATAAACAATCCAGAATTCAAACATATGGAACTTAAGAAACACAACCCAAGTGACGGAATTGGCAAGGTTCTTTCGTGACCATTATCATCAGGAAAACACTGAGACTTAGGTAAATCTAGTTACATTTGATAAGTCTGCACAAACAAAGTACCTTTGGACTAACCTTGTTAATGCTTGACAATGAGATACCACATAGTTATTTGATGTCTACTCTCTATCACTTGGCTGTAACATTGAGGACCTTTGGTATGGGCCTGCTTCCGTCTACCCTTTGGGCAATATTTAAATATAAGTTTATCATCCTACACCTTTGGTTATCCACCTCTCAATTTGTGATGATGATATTGGATAACTATATCACATAACAACCGATATTTACTCAATGGCTGCTCTGTATCATCTGGCTACAACATTGAGGACCTTTGGTATGGGCCTGTTATCACCAGCCCTTCCGGTGATATTTCAGCCTAAGTTAACTATCTCGTATCTTTGGTTGTCCACCTCTAAATGATCGATAAAGAGGTTGTATGACTATGTCTGATCAGGAAAATGTGCTGTCCCCTGTAGCATATGTGGGCCAACTATGTTATTGTGTTGATAGCGCTTCTACATATTTTATAAGCTATAGTGCCAGCTAAAGTGGCAAACCCTACGGCGACCTCACGACATGCAGTGTAATCACGATGCTTGGAGTGTGTGTCCAAAAACGATGCATTCCCTGTGGAGTACTAGATGTTGCAACAATGATTTTCGCAACTCGAGCAAGGGATATGACCCCCTAAGGTCAAAACCATGCCAAGCACATGCCCGCTCGAGCAACGCAACTTTGGACGAAAAGGGACCCAATTGGACCCCCAAACGACATGATGCAAAAAACATATCATGCACAATGGACTTTGAACGTCTACGAGACGACAAAACTGCCCCTGTGAGGGATGAAGACTGAAATAAATCCACGCGGCCACTGACAGCAGATTCTGGCAAACAGCTTGCATTGCCACCAAATATACACGAAGTTGCTAGAAATATGAAACATGTCATATCCCGTGTTCTGGACCCGGACCTATCACACACATCATTTCCGGACTTCCGGATCTGGCCGACTTCTATCTATCGTCCGGATCTGACCCGCGTCTATCTTCCGTGCCTTATCCCTTTGTACGTTCCTTCTCCAGTTAGACTATACTCATTTTCCGTACCTCGTTTCATTTCCGCCTTTATTTTCCTATGTCTTCATCTCTGTCTTCATTTACTATTTTCCGATAGACTAGTGTTTGACTTTTCTATATGCTCCGTCCACAGCCTCGCATAGCTTCGGACTCCGCAGACTGACTCTCCGTTAAGTCCTCAGTAGTATATAAACCCTGTAGAATATTTGTACTTCCTCAGTTTGAATATTATCTTAGACTCTGCTCATTCCCTTCTCCGTCCGACTTGAGTTTCTCCTCTCGTCATCCTCCACTAGTCTTAGGATCGATTCCTATAGACTTCTCACCTCCGCCTCTACCTCTGGTAGTCCTCCGCTGTTTCCTTTCTAGTTTGGACATCGTCTGGATTAGTCTTATCCCTCGTTCCCGAACATCCGCCGGAATTCCCGCACATCGGACATCGGACTCCGGACTCGTCCGACAACCTTCGGACATCATCCAACAGCCCTCGGAAGTTAGGGGCACGTACTCGGGTAAGGGGTGCAGTGCACGAGCTGAAGCCAAGCCCTTCGGATCCGACCCTTGAGCATGTTCTTAACAAAACATCAGAAAGATACCAAAAGATTGAACCATGAAGTACTATCACCTTGAGATCCAGACGCGCCACGAGAATAAGGATTATGCACAGGATGCTTGTGTTCCCAACCAACAGCGCACGCAGCAATCCAATCCATCACAATCAAGACTGCGTGAAACCTCGAACTCAACGTCAGTCATGAGCGCACAGCCATCGTACAAAGCCATGAGAATCTCAGAGAAGCGAGAATCGGGTGCTGAATGGCTGAGATCATGAGCAACTGAAGTAGATACAAGAGAACAACTCAAATCAGTATCGAAAATAACAGAAACAGGCAAGCGGCCAATGAACAAAGTCATGATGAGAGCGCAAGAGGGGTGTAAGCATGGACTGAATTACCATCCAAGGCGACAGTTGCCATCTAAGGTGAGAAAGAGAGGGGCGATGAAATTGAGAAATCTACCGCCAAAAGGTGAAAAATAGCGAGCTATAAGACCCACTCCCTGAAGGTAGCGGGAATATTTCCAATTGGTGTCGACGTCATGTGCGCGCTCTGTGTGCGCTCTACTCGAGCCCCTTTCATCTTTGGCTCAGAATCGTCTGCAGGCGACACTTGTAATAATTAAAACATACTAGTCAATGAAGAACAGACGAAAGAAAAAATAATAATGAATAGATCGCCCATCACCCAGCTACCTTTAGCCTACTTATTTAGATCAGTCATCTTCAAGATGAACATACGGTGTCACCCCTGCATGTAAACCATACCAAGCCAAGGGGCTTAAAATGGTCGTCACAACAGCTAGGCAGCAGGCACATGTAATGAAAGCAGGCTTGGAGTGCTGGGCATCTATGAAGGCACTCGCAAGGAACCCAAAGCCGGACCATGTGATGCTTTTCTCCCTGTAAGTAAACACAAGCGACAGACCAAAAGTTGACTTGCCTCATCATACAAAAAAAACGGGGTGCACTGAGCACCCCAATAACCACTGTCATCCCCTGATCCAGGTAATAGGCCTAGTGAACTGTATGTTAGACTTTAGCAACTGAAAAATGAAATAAACAAATCGCAAATCGCAAAGATTTCAATTTCTCGCTGAAGTGTTGTGCGAACATGCCTGCAAACAGGCAGCCTACACAGAAAATGATAGATCCCTTCAAAATAGACTCTGCAATCAGTCCAGTACCGACACCTTGCACAGCAAGGAACCCGGTGTCAATTGCCATGATGACCCCTGCCTGCCACAGAGTATTAAATGACTAGAATCCTCTATACTCTGAAAGGCTACTTACTAAGGTGATTTGCGCGTTGTTCTGGGTGTTAAAGTCATCAATGAAGTTTTTGAGATCAAGGTAATTGACCAGGCCGTCGACATAGATCTGCTTGAGATGTTCGCGAACCAAAACTGGAAGGCATAACATAGCAACTGTAAGCATGAAAGGAAAAGGTCCCCGCATTTTAGTCCCTGGGCCCATTGAGTGGGTTCGTAATAGGCGAGCTTCAGGTTGGCCAAAATAGTTCAGGTATTGATGATGGCCTGTGTTATTACTCAGTGACAATGTCTGGTAAGATACAGAGACCACCAACGAAGCAAGTGATATAGTCTGCCTGTCATAGATGAAATAAGGATATAGTTGTAGATTTTTGAAAAGCTTATGAACCAAGCAATGCAACACTTGGTTCTGTTATGATTCCTTCAGATCCTGCAAGATCATCTGATATCCGGTCGTCAAGGTGCGATAGAGCAACACATGGAAACATACTGAGACTGGCTAATCGGCTGATGATTTTCTCCATTGTCTCCCTGTTGGAAAATATAGTCGCTGAGGTGGAACTTTCTAATGTTAATGTGTCTATTGTTCATTCAGGTCAGGCTATTCAGTGCTGCATGCTATAGAACTCACCTGCGTGAAACCAATCAAGTTCAGTGCACAATTGTCATAGAAGGATGTGATCCAACTTGAAGTCTCAGGGAAAAAACTCTACATGCTTCCTGTTATGCAGTTTGTGAATGAATCATACTATGCCACCATTTACGATTGCTTACCAAAATTGGGCCTCAAGTTCGAGTCCTGCACGATATTAAAGGTCAGGTAAAGACATGAAAAGGTCACATATATTTATGATTCCATCGACGGGCAGAGTCACATTCTCTGAAAAGATGGGTACCATCTAAGGGTTCCAGCCAGCCGATGATGCGTGCCTCCAGCGCCACCAGATAATAAAGGTAGACATCCCCATCCACGTTCTGAGTCCTCACTGGCTCAGCGACCAAGATGAGATCTCCCTGTACTCGGCCTCGTGTTACTTTGATCCAAGCTTCAAACTTATCGATGCGATCCTGAGAGCAATCTCTTATGTTCAATCCAGTGTATGTGTTCTAAATTTCCAAAACGTAAGTGTAATGTGTACATGCAGTCGGTGCTTACCCTTGTCCTATTGTAGTAATAGGCGACTCCGGACGGATGAACAAACTCCTCCCATTCCCCATAAACCTCATCCCTGCAAATGTTAGAGTCAAAGTGCTACTGTTATAAGGCAAAAACTGACTTAAGAAGGTCGAATTGCAGTCCCTGTACTGTAAAGTCTGGGCCTAGAAGTGGCACCCTGCATATGATAAAAGTCAGCTTGGATATGCAATGTCAAAAGTAATGGATACTCACTGTCTCACTTTTTGGGCATACCGCCCCAACTGCGTCGGCCAGGCAGGAGTACTGCGGTCCAGCAAAACTTTCTTCTGTTATAGGCGTCAATCACAGTCTGAAGCACAGGATGAGAAGCTATCATTGGACATACCGGCATTGATACTGCTATGATTTATGTTGATTAGGGATTGGAGAATTGGAAAATCAACAGTAAAGGGTAAGTAGAGATACGAGATCATGGCAGCGCACGTAATCTTACCAAAATGCGCAAAGCTTAGCTTCATCAATCGTAGTGTTTGACTCCGATGTGTGGTGGATGGGTTTGTTTATTTGTCATTGTGGTGGCTGGCAGGCCAACACTGCCAGCACTAGATAGTACTACTACTACTAGTACTAGTAGTATATGTAATTGGCCTTGTGTGGGGTGAATACTACTATGAGCAAGCATCTGCCAGTGTGTCTGACATGTCATAGCTTTCAAGCTTAAAATACCATTAATGAATTCCCTAACCACTGTCAGAGTTCATAGTCATACTCGTGTTGAACAAACATATCATCTAACTCCTCCACAACCGACTCAGAACTCTCATTTTTCTCCTGATCAAATAACTCTCCTTCTTCGACACCTGTGTGATCATCCTCCGATCCATCCTCTAGCTCATATTCATTTCCACCAACCTGTTCATTGCAGGGGGCCTCATCTAGACTGGTGGGTTTGGGAGGAAGACCAAGCGCCTCTTCATGAGAATAGACATGCCCGACCCCTAGACCATAATGAAATCGCATCAGCATGTCCCGATCAACAAATCTACGTTATAAATCAGTAAAGCAAAGGTTAAGAAGGTTGATCATATGCACCTATTGACAAAATATTGACACCAATCGCTTTGATTGCCGGCCATGCCCGACAAGCCCTTTCCATCATTGTGTCGCATTCCCTTAGAGAAACAAGGGATGATGTGAGCAGCTCTCATAACATCAGCTGGACTTAGAAACCCAAAGGCATCTTCACTATCTAATGCAGGAAAACAAAGGCGATCCAAGGCAGTCCTGCGAAGGTCAGCATGCCCAATTGGTGCATACCATCATACAAAGAGAAATTCCATTCTAAGGGCAGTATGATAGGGGCCACCAGTATACACAATGTTGACATGGTGCACTCCTAGCACCCTGGCATAGCGATAGTGGCCATCATCACTAGTGCTGTTAAGAACCATGATGTCACGGTGTAAGGTCTTGGGATTTATGACATCTTGATCTCGTCGTGTGTTGTAAGTTGTGTAGTTGAAACGAGCGATGTTATGGTGATAGATACGATTGTGTTTGAAGAGGACTTGATCTGTTCCTCCTTGATATGAGTCACCAGGTTGAGATACCAGGATGCACAAAAGAAGATGCTCTTTTAGGTGTGAATAGTAATTCTATAATGAGAGCATGTTCAGCTATCAATGAATCATTGGTAGAAAAAACAAACCTGCATGGCTGGATCACCTTCATGCAACCACAGGTAAGAGCCAATGTCATCATTGACCTTCTCACTCACGCCAATGTGGTGGTGTACACAGGGTTCATAAGCCATACTATCCGGTGCTTCACTAGGTCTTGATTTTTGAAGACGACTCTTGATATGCCTAATACGGGTTTGGCAACGCTCAATTTGAGTGAGCTGATGTATAAAGGATTTCCTATCTGTTCTAAGATATCGCCTCTTGCTGGTGCAGTGCTCCAATTTACCCTGTCCAAATATTTCAGATGATCAGTACAGCTGCAATTGTCAATGCTTACTGGTTCTGTACTGTAAGAATTGGTTGTTCCAAATCGTCGAATACAAGACACGTAGTCTCCAAGAGCATGGATCTTGTAAGTCTGCAGGTTGAAGGAAACTGTCCTGCGAAGTTTGTTGCTATTTGCTGGTTCCTCTACCGTCATAGTCTGGCCATTACCATCGTTAGGGAGGCCATTGGTTGCAGATTTGTTCTTCTTGCCAGCCTGGGTTTGACGAATTGCTTCTTTTGCTTGATGGCGCAAACATGTGTTCACTTCCCTATCAAGCTTGTTGGCATCAAAGGCTGAGCACACGTTAACCTTGAAGTTGCGGAGCTGGTTGCTGATATCAGTAGTCATCGTGTCTAGGATATCCAACGTCAAGTCCGAATGCATGCAGAGTTTTGAAAGGCCATGCCAATGAGCCAGCGTGAAAAGAAGGTCCTGCACTATTTGGTTTTGAGGAGCTGGAAAAAGACCATCGAATACCGGCATAGCACACTTCAAAAAGTCAGCTGAGTTAATCTAGCCTGTACGTTGCACAGTACCTGGAGAAGATCTTCAAAATTACGTGCCACCATATTGGAGAGCTCTGAGGTATTTGCAGTGAATCTTCTTATAGTAGATTGCCCAAATGATGGAACCAGTCGGTATCTATGAGAAGACACAGTGTATGAGCATTCCTTTCATTGCAAAGGAAAAGGCTACCAGACCTCCTATCTAGTTCATGTACTAGATCTTTGTCAATAGAACGTATAATCCTCAGTGAATGTATGAGGAGTGAGCGCCAAACTCCAAGTTCCACTTCATGAAGAAGATCCACTACTAGTGCTTCAAATATATTCAAGCCTAGAATGCTGAGATATTTAGAAAAGGTGTTCTTGTGACATGTTAGCTTGGCTGAAAGAATCAACGGAGTTGTGTACATAGGTTGGCACCCAAGAACAAGGCTTCAGTAGATTCTCTACCCCAGTGCTGTCTACTCCGTAATTCTTTTCATACATCAGTTTTCTAGCGGTATCGACCAATTGCTTTTGATCACCATGAGAGCGCTGGAGTGTAGTGCACTGCTGTCTATCTCTAGTCATACCGAGATTGTGCAGTTGACTTTTTGGAATCAAACACCTTGAACAAGGACATCCGCCTAGTTGATGGATAGTTGCGATAAGAGCTCTGGTATCATTAGCTTCTGACTTTGTCATAAAAAAAATGGCTCACTTCTCTGGGTAGTCTGCCGAGTAAGTGAATATCCTTGGGTAAAACCTACGCACAACTCCATCACAACACACAATGATGATACCGTGCTCATAAGCTTCCAAAAACTCTTCATCTAGTAGAACCTCCCACTGCGCCTGGAACAGCTCTCTCTGACAGTGTGTAGTACACTCTTGGCTGACGCCCTTTCCCCCTGTATGATGGCAAGTAAAGTCTTTAAATGAATCAGGAAGCTAGGGGCTATATTGTGAGTGGCTGCATAACATTGATGATAGAAATTTGGTGGTTACCTTCTGAAAGTACGCAACATGATTGCCAAGATGGCAAGAAGGCTTGCAATGACAATACTTTGATTCATTCCCAAAGAACAGGTAAACAGGCCATAGCTTTGCATTGCCAAAACTAGTCAGGTGAGTAGCATCTGACTAGAATATTAGTTTGACTGCCACTCCAGGGATTTGCTACTTACCAGACCAGAACATTAGGGAAACCACCACCCTAGGAAGATCGCAACCAGGCTCCCTAGGAGAATCTTGCAGTTCCTGGTGCGTGGCCATAAAAGCCGGTGAAGTATAAAGCTCGCCATATATTTTGACCTTGCTTTGAAGGTGACCAGGGTGCCATAGGAGCTCATAGGGCTCATAATGGAAAAGCTCATCATCCCCTATATTCGTCAGCTTCTCACGTATGATGCCAACCAGGGAACGATGGTACAATTCTGCAACTGTGTATGGTCTAACACCTGCATGTTCATTGGTACGAGTGAATAGGATCTGAATAGACACATCAGTCTTGTGCCAGCCTGTGTCCTCATCCTCCCATTCATTTCCACCCTCCTCATAATCATTTTGACCCAAGGTGGAATTAATCTTGTCCCAAGGTGTCGCCAGAACACCAGCACGGTCAAAGTCAGAATCCGTGACTATGTCAACCAGTTCGCTGAAACTCTGCTGAGACTTCTGTACTCCCCCATTCCAATACCAATTACCAAGTTCTAAAGATGAGCGATTGGAGTAAGAATAGTAAGGTGAAACTTCGTCAGTGGTAATTGCAGCTGACAGAGCTCTTTCTGGCCTGGGGATGGCACTGATGTCCTCCAGTGTGATCGCCTCTTCTGGATCATGAGATGGTGGGTGTGAGGAAAAAAACTGGTGTACGAGTCCAAAGATGTTTCGAGGAGTGCAAAAAGGAGGTTGCAATTCTGGAGGATGTGTTAGAGGGGGAGGTGAGTCTAGAGCTTGCTGGATGTTCAAGTCATTTATAGGGATGCTGGGAAGGGGTTGAGGTAGAACATCCTCAAATTGTCGGTAGCACTTTGGCAACTGAGTGCCGCTGCGCCTTGTCCTACGCTGGGCTAAAGGCACATCCTCACTGCTACTATCCTCCCGTCCCTGATGGTCCAAGACGCAGTTAAGCAGTATGGTAGCATTATTCTGCGGCAATGCAGATGTAGAGGCAGGAGGATTGTTTAATGGAGAATTGCTGCTGGCTGTGAGACGAGGGAAGATGGCCAATGGTGAACTTGCATCTGAAGGAGTAGACTGTGGGCCCAAGAACCTTCCACGATCTGTAAGGTGAGTCCTTGCCCTTTTGACCGACCCCAGAAGATCCTTAGCTTTGCTTAAAGCTGAGAACAGTCTTTTTTTACCCTTGATACAGGATTTTTGATATCTAGTGAAGGCGCTTTCCTGCTGAAACCCATGGCCACAAGTACAAGTGAAATTGGCTGGGACGCCATCTCGGTTCATTGAAGGCTAAGGACAACAAATGAAGATGTATGGCTAAAGTTTCAGTGATGCATTAACTTACGAGCCCAGATCTAGGCCTGTGCCCTAGAAGTCCCAATTGGGCTCACTGTTGCCAGGTGCTGACAACGATGAGCTCAGACTTTGCGCAACCCGAAACCTTCTGATTTATAAATATACGTGTGACAATGGTGGCTAATCAACATTGCTTGACAATCATACAATCACTGTACATCATCCCCCCTGAAAAATGGCGTGAATGAATAGCTGTTCAGAAGTCAGTCCTGTAGCTTGCTCCTGTGTCGGAAGAATTATCCAATTGGCATTTATACTGGTCAACAAATAGGCGACGACGAGGCTGAGCCCCCCCCCTGGACCATGCTATAAATGTACGTCAAGATGAGTTGTTGTTGTGAGCAATGAACACATTTACCAGTGTTACTCTCAGTAAGGTATTGTATGGTGTCTGAGAGGAGCTCCACTTTGGTTTAGGCGCGATGAAATCTTGATTGCATTAGACCCAATTCTGCTTGAAGAAAGCTAGTTTCATCTTCAGCATTAGATAAATCATTGGCGCGTAATATCATGATCTGCAAGGAAGCTCTTTCTGTTGCAAGATCGTCCATGTAAAAGTCCTCTGTACATTCTTCGACCCATGTATTGACCAACTGGTAAGGGCGGTGACCTGCCTGCCAGACATCATAAGAATCAATCCAACAGTGAATGGCAGCAGTACTCACGTTACACACCACCAGAGTCTTATATAACATCATGAGCTTGGATGCAATGGATGTTGATTCTTCAGCAGTATAAACCATGGCAGGCCCAACACCCCTGTCAAAACCCATATCAGCTTCATCATCATCAGAGTCTCCGCTTGTTGAAACTTTGCTTAGCCACTCGTTGCATTTCAGATGTGCCAAAGAACCGACCCTAGAGAGCCTGTCTAGAGGATGCCAGTCTCTTGCAGAGAGCTGAATCACAGGGCGCGAGCTAGCAGGACGAGCTAAAAATCAGATATCAGCATCCTCATGTAAATACATATGGTGCAATTAACTTACAGCCCGCCTTCAGCTGAAGGAGGTCAATGGCCTGAGAATAAAGTGACAATTCCAACTGAGCTCTGTCTTTCTTGTCCTCCATAAACTCTCTTTCTCTGTCAAAAAGGACTCTGCAAGGCAGTTGTGAATTGTGCAATGATTCTCCTTGCATGAATTCAATTTGGTATGCCATTACAAGACACCATAGATCGCCTGAGTAGACATGTTCTTCCAGCAGAAAGAGCAGTAGTCTTAACTCAAATTGAAGCTGAATATAAGACATTTAAAGAAGATTAATAGATAGTGAAAGACTCTTAGCTGACAGTCGGATTCCACTGGCAATCAATCCACCACCTTAGTCCATCAACACCTGCCGAAGAGGAAGAGAGAGCAAGAGCTCCCTTGCGAGAAATTGCTGGTGGTGCAAGGAGCAACAAAAGACGGTGTAGAGACTCATGCCTCTCATTGTGCAATATGGCAGTTTTCACTGGGGAGTACATGGCACGAACTTGTAGCATCACTCTGTGTGCTACCCGCAGCTATCTCTATATGAGGCGCAGCTTTCCCACGCAACGCGCGCCATGCGCGCGTACCTTTCCCGCGCTTCACGATGTATATGCGCGCGCGCTTTCCCGCGCTTGAGCGCCCTATAGCGCCAGCCATCCGGAAGCATCCATCCACTGTCCACCAAGTTCCCTAGTGCGTATATTTCCATTTCTCACATTTGCATATCGTTCCATCTTTATTTTTATCATGGACCCTTACTTACATATATCTTTACATACCTTACTCGGTAGCGCTTCGGCTCCGCATGACAGCGCTTAGGCGCCATACTTAAGCGCCAGCAGTACATACTTACTTACTCACATACTCTCCCACCAGAATGACAGAGGACTTACTGGTTACTACCCACTATTTACCTAGCAGAACATAGTAGAAATCTATTTGTTTACACCTCGCATCTCCCTTCTCTTGTCTTACATCATATCATCACCTAAGCAAACTCACTCTTACTCTCTCTTGTTTCTGCATACACGCGCGCGCATTCCCGCGCCTCGCGCGCACCTGCGCTTTCCCGCGCTTCGCATTGGCCAACCAGTAGCGCTTTCAGCGCATACCTCTAGATCCTTGCTGCACTCACTTCCCCTTTAGGGTCGAACGCACTTGTCATCTCAAGTATAGCAGACTAGGCAATGCACGACCTTACAACAATTATAGATACAGTCAGGAGCACTGTTCGTGCCTTGCTGTATCATTGAACCTTCAACGGTTCTCAATGACCGACATCATTATGTACAGAAGTAGTGGGCTGGGGAGGTTTAGCCCGGTGATAGTACAGACTTAGATGCGGCGGTTGTGTGCAGCTCATGGGAAATTTTAGGACGACAAGATTTTTTTAAAAGAAGTTATTACTGGTAGGGTAATTACCAATGCATGTCCTAGCTAGCAGACATTAATCAAGGAAGCCTAATGATACTTTTCAAAAGCGGTATTCTGTGGTAAGCACCTGTGAAACTCCATAGCCCGTCTAGTCCCAACTTGCTTGCACAGTTTGCAATTCTGGAACAGTATAAGAAACTCCTCCAGGCTGATTTTGCCAGTGAAAGAGCCAAGCCTACTAAACAGAATATATTGTTCTTGATAAGACCACACCTGGTGTATTGATCGAGGCTGATTTTCTGTAGCGCTTAGTTAGTATTGAATACATTATTGTTAAACTCAGCAACTCACCTCTGAGGTGATACACACTGATGCTTTGCGTATGTAACTGAAAATATTTGTTGATTTTTACTGGGTAATTAGTGAGATCAAAGAAATGCACATAGTCTGGATGAAAAAAAACTGACCTTGGTATCCGCAAATGTCCATGGCACATCTTGCCCTCCAGACCAAAGTTCCTTTCATCTCTTCTTGCCAAGAATACACAGTGGACTCAACATAGTTTTGTTGCGTCATGTAGGCACAAAGACAGCAGGGATATTTGAGATGGCGTCTTTTTCTATAGTTATTGAACTGATTTGGAGGAACCATGTTGTAATCATCATCAGCAGGCCTGCATGGCATCAACACATGGTAAGATATCAAATACGTGCAAGAAAATATCGTACCAGGACCAGTCAATCATTGTTTGTGACTTTGTATCAAAGTGTAAGAGCAAAGACATAGATATCATAGCTTCTGTGGTGAGTATGGCTATCCTTCAAATATTGTCTTCATCATGCGAGAGTGCAGTTATGGTCGATGAAGGAGAAGAAGGGGGTTCCATGGCTGGCTCTGAGCATCGACCATCCTACAAAATTTATTTTATGTTAAAATGACAACGCTGTTTACCGCTTGGCAAGACTCTGACCGGTTTCGTAATCGGCCATCAGCGGAAACCTGAAGGCCTGGTGACCCACTTGGTATGGTAATTCTATTGGAAATTAGTGCAAGTCCGGGCCACAGCAAAATTCTAACGAGCCAACTGACCTTATTCAAATCAAGCCACCAGTAGCCAATGACGTTATCATCCTAGTCCTCCTAGCACTGCCAACACACCTAATTAGTTATTGTGAGCAGAATACGGCAACATTAAGCGACCCATACATTCTGCAAGATACTCGGCAGAGTAAATCCAAGAACTGCAAGCAAAGTCGTTTCCGCTCCAAGCATCCAGTATCTCCAAGCTAACATTCTCCCGAGAATTAGGAAGGGCTGGAACAGGTTCTGCACCTTAACAAAGATGTGGTTAAGATCATCGACCACTAAATTTATCAATCTTTACTAGTACATGGAGAGTTAGCAAACATTATATATGTATATAAGAACAGACAAGAGAAACCACCAAACTCTAATTACATGCCTGTAGACATTCCTGATGGTGATGCAACCACGAGGAGACCCACGGAAACTCGTTTGGAACTGATGGGATGCATCGGATGTGGTTGTGGTGGGCTGAGTGCTTCGTAACCTGCTGGCATTGGATGAGAACCCCACATGAGCAGGATAGGCTCCACTGCAAACCTTTGTGAGCGAAACATGAACACATCAGTAATTGTAACTGTAAAAGTAGAGGGACATAATAGACAGACGAGACATCGTGGACAATTCTCAACACTGTAATGCAACAGCAAGATTTTGTCTTTGATAGAGGGTTTAAAGGGCTGGCAACCCAATAATCAGTATGCAATCTCCAGAAAATGTTAGTTGTGCAATGTGAAGACTATCTCACTTACTAGGTCAGGCAGCAAACCAAGCCCATGCAGCACATGGACAGTAGACTGAGTTGACTTCATCTTCTGTCTCACCATGCACATCGGAAACAAGTGAGACGTGAGTTATCATATTTAATGCGAAATACGAAACTGGAACTCGCCTATTGCCTCTATAAACGGCGCCGACCCGATGTCCCCAACAGCTGTACCACCAAGCTGAAAGAACTTCATCGCGATGAAAAGTATTGCATGTTACTGATGCGAGCAAGTTGAATGATAAGGGATATATCGATACGACATAGGATTACAAAGGAGCAGGCGGACTCAGAGTATTAGATAGTTATATGGTTGGAAACTGATCGATATTGATGACGATGCCGTATCATAGTAGTACGAACGAAAGGCTGCTGCATACAAGTCCTGAGATTCTGACTAATCAGATTATCGGAATCTCTACTCTGGCGTCAAAGTTTTCACACTGTGAACAAGTCGTTCATAGTATTTCAAGTTAGTTTATTAGAGGAACTTCTAGTCTAGCCTATGTTTAATGTTAAGTGTTTAGCTGCTGTATTATAGATATGCAAGTGATGTCGCTGATCGCTGATCAGTGATGGTAGTATGGTACAGTAGTGATACAGCATGTAACTCCCCTGGTATACCAAGGCTTGCAGCAACCTTAGAGGCAAACTGGTATAGTATGTGTGTGGAGTAGGTATAATGTGCTTGAAAAAATGAAAACGAAATGTATCTACTTCATCACAATCACCCCTAGATGAATTTTAGCTGATATTGAATAAAAAAATCAGTGACTCACCCTTCTCCGGAATCTGTTTATCAAACACGCCGCAGTGCCCACAGTCTCTGTTGCTGCATTCAGCAGGCCTTGGGCCATCCCGCTCAATGTTGTCCCGATTTGGGATTTGGGTCCAGTGACGGTGGCGTTGTCCTAAAATATTCAAACATCGATCTATTAGTAGATCTCCTATTAGCTTACCTGAGCCCAGAAATATTCGGCTTGCATCTGTAAATTTGTTAATTGCAAGCACCGATGACCATCACAAGTACTTACAATCACTCTCTTGGGCATAGTGCCCATCAATCCACTGCTGTTGAATACTTCTGACACCATCTGTTGTCTGCAAAGATCAGCGAATACTCCGATCATATGGCGCTTAGCATTACTTACCTGATATATCGATTACGTAGCTTAAACTTCGTGGCAAAGTAGTGGCAGGATACTAATGAGCTAATGTGACGGTCACAATGTTACAGCTGCTGTGACAGGCATGCTGTGCAGTGTGTGTGACTTCACTACTACACGTGCCATCTGAAAACAACATAGACATTTTGAAAATTTGAACATCCCTTGACATTCTGAATGCTTTGGCATAGTAAGTTTTCTTGTTCAGTTACATCCTACACATCCTTCTGACTCTTCTCTCCTCCTTGGAGACTCGCCATCAGATCTGAGTTCAATCATCATAGCAGCTTCAAATTGCTACAGCAGTCAGCCGAATAAAAGTTGGCTCATGACATCATAAGTCTCTCCCTTCGCTTCGATCCTTCATGCGTTCATTCATTTTTCTAGATCAGTGCGCTCAATGCCTATCTATTTTGCTAACATATAATACTACTCTCCTTCATCATTGTCCATTCATGTCTATATATCATTTTGGTCTCTCCTACCCTGTCATGAGCTGAGGTGATTTATGCCCATCTTGATGTGGTGCGTAACTCAATAAGCCATTGCTTATCTGTGCTGATTAGTAGTCTGTTAAATCATTGGTCTCCTCAGGACGGCCACCTTTTCGGTGGGATCATGCCTCTATGCACTGCAAGCGAGTTAGAATGAATGGCAGCAGGAACGTCTTGCTACATGGCTGTACGTATGAGTGACTAATGTTCAGCCTGGACTCCAGTCACACAACCTCATGTTTGTAAAAGGGGACTTCTACTGGGGCATGAACCTTATAAAATTTGATGAACGGATCTATCTCGAAAGCTATAAAGTCTAGTCATGGCACTAAGTCCATCATCTCCCTTGCCAATTTCCTGCATTTGATTGTCATGCATACATTTATTTACAGCAAAAGTGCAGGGCGTGTTACAATGTTCGACTACGCTGTGAGTATCATTTACAAAAGCCTCCCTTTGCATTACACTAACGTATCATTAGGAAGAGGCAAGTTTTTCTTCTTTTTCCAATCAGATCAGTAACATCTGTGGTCGTCATGTTGTAAGGTGGCTTAGATGAACTGCGTATGAGCTTAGACTTCGCATGTTACATGTTAGCTGGAACTAGCATTGGCCCATGCTATGTAGGTCATCTAGCATGTCTGATGGTCTGCTTTATCTGATGTGATCACAGTGGCCAGCTGATGTAGCTATGACCACGGATCCTCCCATAGGATACATCGCTATGAATGACCACAGCGGACCCCTTGTTGAGGACTCTAGAAGAGCAGAGTATCAGGTCCTTGTACCTATTTATGGCTTCACCGTGAGTAGTATCCTGCAATACTTCTTAGAATGATGAGATATTCTGTCATACAGCAGCAAGACGACAGAACACTCTACAACGTCAATGTGATTTCCAGGGTTCTCAAACATAATTTGATATCAGTCTGGACATGGCTAAATCGTGTGTCTTTGTGCTCACAAAACCTCCTTATCTGACTTATCTGAGCAGTTGAACTCAACTTCAGCACAAAGCTAGCATGATGGCCGATGGGCTTCTATTGGCAACCTGCATTTACTACTGCCATGTCTTTTGATGGCGCAACATATGGTCACCTGACTGACTACACTGTAGGATCTTATGACTTGCAATTAGGTATGCGCATACACTTGTAGGACACTCCTCTACTGACCGACCATGATAGGATACCTCAATGTCATTCCTAGCCCTGGTGCACATGGACCATTTACGTCGCCATCTATTCCATCAGAAGACTTGATGCAACCCTTGGGATCGACATCCAACTTCTCTGAAGAGTTAAGCTGGCCTGCTAACATGAAAATAATGGCGGAATATGCTTCCCTTTGTCAGACATTCATAGCCAACCTACCTCTCGACAATCCCTAGACAAACATCATATGGTGGTTCAATTATAGGAAGTCTAGTAGCGGGTAGGTATGGACATGCCATGGAGGTAGTGAAGTTGCCAGGTGTCAGGCATCAATTCCTCACACAATGTTTCCTGGAGGTGCTCTCCAGGTGTGGTATGTTGTATGATGATTGTAAATCAGTAGATTGTGAGTATCGTTGAACACCTTGAATGATGCGTGCTGAAGGTACAACAATTCAGATGGTGAGTCTGAACAATGTTGGGTCTTGCAGAACCTAGCTGCTATTCGACCCTAAAGGGTTCTGGACCAGGCTCAAGGCTCAGAGAAGAGGAAATATGATAGGAACTTGCTGAATACTCAGACTCATACTGGTAACTGGTGAAAAGGTAACTTGATTATGTAAGCTACAAAAGTGCAAACATAACACTAAGGTAAAAACAGTCTCTGCAAGCCCAGCCAGAAATGAATCCCTACAGCGCTCATGGTCCTATCATATTTCCAGTGGAATTGGTTTCAGGGACACGCTTCCATTGGCACCATTTAAGAGAACAGGTAATATGTTTATCATTTATATTCTGAACAATCTACTGACATTTGATGATCGCAGTACAATCACAAACCCAATAACTTTGCTTCTGATTGGCACAAAATCATCAGGCATTGCTTGCAGCCAGGGAAACTTATGGATTTCTGTAAAAATCAAGCCAAGTTACAGACACGGACTTCGAGGATGCTTGCAGCTCTCAATACACAACTTGTTTCTGATTCTGTCAGTGTTTTACACGCACCGCAGTAATACTTACCTCAAGCTGACTTTATTTAGGCTGATTACGACATCATTGGCGAAATCATCGGCCTTCAGATGGCCAAAGAAATCTGGCACCACATAGTCTTACGACCAGTCGCATCTAATCCTTCCATTAGCATCGCTGATGTCTACTGGAATCAAATTCTGGACCAGCAGGGAGATGTTTCCCTGGAAGCCATCACATTCATTGTATGCCTAGTGCATCGCTTGCTTATGTTTGCTGATATTGATTGAGTTGAGTTTTAAGTTTTATGAATGATGTCAGAAGGCCCTTAATGTGACACTGGACTGAATGGCTGCCACCAACGTTATTCTGGTGTACAAACGTATCCTACGTCTGAAGGGCCTGCCTCTGGATAAGATTCAACAAGTAGCCAGAGATCTTGGTTTTATCAGGTATCTATTCACTTTCTATCCGCCCAGTATTCCATATTAATACTGCAAAGAGATATCAACGTCTATGGTGTGGACAAAGATGGACGCTACAAGAGACAAACTCTAGGACCAATCATCAGAACTCCTGTTCGCATCCATACGTTTCAGGTTCAACACTTGCAGGAGTTGATACCCGCATATTTCTTTCACCCAAACACATGAGCATCATTCCTGTGTACCAAGCCTTCTAATCACTTTGAATTTGAAGCTCTTCATTGCTTACAGGCTGTTTCCAGCAAAAGAGTGCTTATTGGAGTATGTTAGTCTACATATATCATGTGTCCGCTTCTTCTCTGTTCTCAAGATGTGAAGTATATTTGATTTCTGTCCTTAACCGTTTGTTAAATCCCTGAAGGCCTGACGTCTAAACATCTAATCGTCTAATGAGTTGGCTGATGTTGATCACATGATCAAGGTGGGAATGTGTGCTCATCGTTGTCAGCACCTGACAACAGTGAGCTCAACCTAAGCGGTTACTTTTTTCTGTATAGTCTGAAATTGATTGGAACATGACTCAGTCAACATATGCATCTCATCTATTGTCTTCGCTATCACTGGCAGAGCCATTCAAGTTCAATCTGGAATTCACAGTGGCTGAACTTGAGCTTATAGAGTATACTCTAAGGCAGGTGGGTAGAAATCATGAGGCCTTACCCTTACTTGAGAGAGTTCAGTATATGCGCAGCCTGCCGGCAGGAACCCCTCTTGGGCCGCCTTTGATGGATGATAGGTGAGAACGCCATATACCTTAGCCCTCCACTCCAGATGATAACCTTGATATGATACAGCTTGTCCTCCGAAGATGGTGCCTTTCTCTCTGTTGAAAGGTCATTCATCAAATGTCACAAATTCTCAGCATCTGTGGAAGATTTTTTCCGTCAGAGCCTTGCTTCTGATGATGGGGAGTCAGTGGATGATTATTTCTTTCAAGGGCTCAGTGCTAATGAGACCAGCTTAGATGCAGAGGCATTTGAAGAAGAAGATATTGATGTCATTCCAGACAATGGCAATGGAGATGAAGAACTTCACAGTTGTCGTCACCAACGCCGGGTAGCATCCAGGAAGCTTCGTCAGCTTAACCAACATCCCTACGCACCCCCCAGAGGCCCCATTCTACCCGGAGAGCCTATTAATATGAGGCCACCTGGTCCTGATCCCACCTGTCCTCATAATGGGAGGCGCCTCCATGCAGCTCAAATTTGGCAGGCGCAGGCTACATCTATCCAATCTGCCAGCTTTATCACTTCCGATGCACTCATTGCAACACTCACCACTCCTCATGTAGAGTCTACTGCCTCTCATTTGGATGTCAGAGCGTGGGTCGATAACGCTAACCTGCACCAAACCGGTTCGGTGCATGGATGACTAATGCTCTCCCACAAGCCCAATACCCTAGAAATCATTATGAATAATCTTCCTTTACTTTATGGTTCAGACTGCAGTTCAGATAGTATTTTCATTTCATTTCTCAGATAGACTCAGATAGGCTGAATATGTTTGTATATTTAATTTTGCGGTAAATTTTGCTTAGTCAGCAGCAACAATGACTCAGACTGAATCCCACACATGTCAAGTAACAGTGAAAAATAGTTCTTGCATAAGTTGCCTTGTGGGAACTTTCTTAACACTCTAAATACACGGCTCGCGTCATTTCTACGGTCAATAAAGTAACATCATAGCAAGACACCAACAAATAACATAATCAGTCTGTTACTTAATATTTGTCACATGATACTAAGTCATATGACTCTAACAGTCAGGTGACCTATGATCCTAAACCAAATCATGACAAAGCAACCTTTTGAGATGACTAAAGCTTGATGACACAAATTATAAAGCACATGACTACAGTAAATAGTATTGGTACAATCTGACTAAGCCTATTCCCCTTAAAATGTGGGAAATAGTAGCACAGCCACCATAATTTATCTATATAAGACCCCACTTTTTGCCAATAAAAAATATGCATACAGGGAACTTTTAAGCCCCACAAAATAAATTTGAGTGTGAAGTGTGATCAGTATCAACAACAGTGACAAGAGCTGTTAAGCAACCAACTGAGAGGTCATTGTAAGCAACATCCAGCAATACCTTTCGCTCATCGTCAACAACTGTCAAATATCCTGAGCTCACTGTGCTCAACAGTGAGCAAAACTTTTTCTTTAATTTTCTACTGGTGAACCTCTAGTCTCTTTCTTTTCTTTTCTTTCTTCTTTTTCTGTTTCTTTTTTCTGTTTCTTTTTGTCTTTTTTTTTTTTCATTTGTCTCTTTTTCTGTTCAGTTCGTTCACATCTTAGTGTTATTGTTTGAATTTGTTTCAAGATCTTTGTGTTGTCTTTACGTCCATCTAAGCACCGGCTTAGTGGGAAGACTTCAGAAGTTGATAGTGACGCTTGACCTCACTCATCTGAGTAGTGATACTGAGCCAGGGTTTTCTTTGTCTGCTAGACTTTAGTTGTTGAATAGGGGACTTGGTACTGAAATCCAAGGACGTCCGTTCCTGATTCTGTTTAATACTCATCATGAGTTCCTTGGCAGCAGGTTCAATAGTGAACTAAGAGTTCTACTGATCACTGATTAGTCCTGACCTTTGATTCTACCTGTTTGTGCTGAGGGGGTGATTGTTATAATTTCGCACAACTTTCTGTAGTGAATTTATTATGAGAAGCATTGTTACTGAAGGAAGGGTTTCTCTTACCAATCTATTTCTTTTTTATCAGTACCATACTGTTGGGCTGACTTTTCTCTGTTTTCTAATCACTGCCATACCATTGGAGTGAATCATTTTCTTTTTGTCATCACCATACCATTGGGCTGACTACATTCTGTTTATTTTATTTTCTATTGTGTCCATACTGTTGGATTGACTGGTATTGCTACTGACCTCACAGAAGTACTTTTTGTCTGAACATAGCTTGGGGAAGTGTAAACAGCCACCCACGAACAACCACGTTATCAGTCATTGGTATTTGTCTGAATCACTGACCATGGAGATATTTGATTTTGTAGGTGTTTATCTATAGATCATCTATCTAAGAAGACAATGCCCTGTCTTATCTCAAACAGCAGGATAGTGTCCAGTTAGGTGTCGGCTCAGTAGAAACTATGGTAGCGCGCTGTCAGTTTGTTTCAGTTCACGCAACTGGCTCAAGCTTTATAGCCATGATCACATACATGCAGTTGGCCATGCAATGTCAAAGGTACTTGCACACTTCACTTGGTTTCTTGGTATTGATCAATAATTTGCATTATAGCATCATCACAGCATGTGAGGAGCATTCCAACATTCGCAAATTTTACAATGATGAGGTTGCCAAGTTGAGAAGTGCGCCATCAGAACGTACTTTCCATCGCTGGTATGAACATGGCTGTAAATTCATCTTGCTAGCTGCAGGCAGGTCATTCTACTTGCTTGTTATCATCGCAGGTCTGGAAATACAGTGGAAAGTTGCATCAATGCAGTTTAGTGTCCTTCGGCAAGTTGGTAGTATGTTGAGGCAGCCAGGGATTGGCGGTGAGTAACCTATCCTTTGGCCTCATTGCTGTGTGTTCCTATTGCGTTCCCACAGATAAGGCCGACTTAATCACTCAACGTATCATACCTACCATCGCCTGGATCAGATCCCAAATGCCTATTTCCCTGCAAAGAATTTTTCCATCTTCATTTCTAACATGCATTGGAGCTGGGGACACCCTGGACTGCACAGACCTGGTGCTCACTGATGGAGTCTTCGATATCTTCAGACAAGAGTGCGTAATATATTTATTTTACATTTGCAAAAAATTTCTCACTGACCTTCCAGGAATTTTACTCTCCCAGCCAGGGATATGGGAGCCTGGGCCATTTGCAAATCAGATGTTGCTGAACAGACACTTGTCATTAGTGGTAAGGGCATAACTAGCCACTTACATTCTTTGATGTGTTGCCCTAGTGGGGTGAAACACTTCTGTGTTACAGTCATCCAAACATCTTTTGACCGCTCACATTGTAACAATGTGCGATCCCCTGCTAAGAACGACAGGAAGGAGAATGCGATATGGACGGAAAGCGAGCGCATGAAAGCAGCGGCAGGGGAAGTTGTTAGCGATCTTGATGATCTAGGCAATAAGGTGTGTGAGCTCCAAATTTTGTGATGCAGCGGTCTCACTGATGCTCTCAACCAAGATGGGCAAACTCTATCCAGAGGGCTACAGAAGCCACAGGGGATATGTACGCATACCAATGCACATTCTGAAAGGGTGAATTGATCCTTTGATCGTTTTAAGTAGGAACTCATGTTTTCAGCGGTATGCTTGATTTACGCAATTCAGATGGCAGTCTCATGGCTTTCATCTGTCCCTCTCTACCAGAGACCATTTGCCTTGGCCTCACCAGTAGCTTGCTCGCCTGCTTTGAAAGCAAGAACGTTCTGCACGTTCGCAAGTTTAATGACTCAGAAGGAGCGCCGCAAGTGGAGCAAGACACCGGTTCCACCTTTGAAAAGCTGGTGGAGAAGACTCTTCTTCGTCCCTTCCAGTGCCTGCATTTCTCGCTCTGGAATCGCTACTCAACTGTGGTAGGTCATTGTATTGACAACACTGAACTCTAATGCCAATACTACATCTGACAGGGAGACAATGCACCCACTCATATTCATCCTTATGATATGGTTAGGGCGGATGTAAGTCGCACTAATCATATGCAGTGTTTGCCCTATCCTTCAAGAGACATCTTGGAGCACCAGGAACTGTATAACAACATCCTGACTACATTTGGCGAACTCTTTGAGTGGATTGAAATGGTGGTGAGCGACATTTCTGGGATGTTCAACTTAGCGCTCACCGCATCATAGATGAAGGAGTTTTTGCCAGAGGAGTACGAAGTTCTGGTAGAACTTGGCCAGAATCTTCCTGGTGGAGAACGCTCACTGGTGGCTCCTTTCCTCTCCCTTGTCCTCAATCTCAATGTGACCACAGAGGGTCATTGAGACAGGTTCGACAAGGACCTCTGTCTTGTCTTACCCCTAGGTACAGAGCCCCTTCAGTGGCTTGGCCCTATAGAGTTGGCCAGCCCACCTTGACAATGCTTCTTAGGAGTCGGGCCAACCCACCATGGGCCCACATTAGATTGTCATCCCATAGTCATGGGTGGGCCGGTGAATGCATTGTACCCTACAGTCAGGGCTGGGCCCACAGTGGATTAGCCTCTGAGTTTTGGAGTGAGCCCATGGGTGCCAGGATTAATACTCACGTGTATTGAAGGGTGGGCCTACAGCAGAAAGGAGAAGTTAGCCCTTACCCATTTCGAGTGGGCCCATGGTCTATAATGGTCGGCGAGTGTATGCTGGAAAAATATGTCGGCGAAGTGATAGCCGGAATGCTGTGCCAGCGATTATCAATAGGCGTCGGCGAGAGCATCCTGGAAGATGATGTCGGCGAATGAACCTTAGGTATGTGCCAGCTGTAGTCCATGAGCATTGGCAAGTATGCCTTGGGAGAGAGCATCGGTGAACGAATTTTGAGAATGCTTACCAGCGAGGGTTGATTAGCATCGGCGAATGTGCGGGACCACGGTTGGCTGTTCCATGAGAACGCCAACCATACTCCCTGCCGAAATGGCTATCTATAGGCACAAGTGGTGACAATTTTCTCCCGGAGTGTTCGGCTTAATACTAAGATCTGCGGGCCTCATGATATATCCTATAACAAGACTCAGGATGCTGAGATATTCCAAGTCAGTGCGCTCACAAAATGTCATGTTGATATATGCCAGAGTCGACGACACTGGTTTCCGGGACTCCATTACAGGAACAATCAACACCGCACATCACAGGTCCCCCTCCCAGTACATATATTGCCGATGATAGGCTCGCTGGTATTTGCAACGCCATCTCATGTGACTTTTCGGTGGGCACAGAATACCACATATCACCAGGCCAGACAAAATCAAACAACATGTAATAGATAGCTACATAATGCTACTTCTTGAAGCAGCTAAGAACACCAGTGTCGCCGACAAATACAGTTCACACTCCTGGACATGTACCTAGGTTGCCGGGACATCTCACCGCCACAGTATATCACTTGGGCGCCACAGGCAACGGGCTCGCCGACATTCAGAATTCATTTACCACCTTGCCTGAAAGAAAATCCTCAATCTCAGCCTATCGTCAGGTTCAAGGAGACCACTTCACCAGCATGGGCACAAAATGATACAAATATCCAATTGCCGTTGTGAGCTATGCACCAGCAGCACTAATTCCGAAGGTGGAATACACCACTGAGTGTATTCACAAGTACAAAATGACAAATCTAACTACCATAGCCCATTGCAATTATTGTAATACTACAAATACATACAAGTCCAGATCACTATGTAACAGCTCATTCATGTGCGGTTGATGCTATGGATGCCGACTCAGCTGCAGCATCCTCTGCATCAATGCCAGGTTTAGAATAGGTACCAGAGAGGTACGGTGCTTGCCAATGATCACTGGCAAACAAACTGAAGATGGCGGGAGTAATTCCCGTCGAAGTTCTGCCATCTGCTTAGCAAGCAGTTTGTAGGTTGCCTCTTGCTCGGCAAGTCGCCGGTTGGCATCAATGACGTGTTGCTCACCTGAGCTCACCTTCTCTTGGAGAGAATTCAGCATCTCCTTCAGCACCGCTACCTCATCCTTCAGGGACAGCACCGATGCACTGGCCTCGGCGGCAGGAGTGGCAGTGGTAGTGTCATCCACGTTAGCCACAGGAATAGAAGCGACTGTGACATCGGTGGCGGCGGCGGCGGCAGGGAGTGCAATGGTAGCATTGGAGGAAGTGGCTGGGTTAGCATCGGCGGTCCTAGTCGTGTTCGTATTAACATCGGTGCGAGCCTGAGCACCTGCTGCAGGGCCATGAGTGATGGTGGGTACAGGTTCTGTGGGCGGGAGTTCTGTTGGTCTGTAAGATATTGATCAATAGAATAAAAAGTCACATACCATTTGTGACTTGGGCAACATGAACCGGTGATGGACGCTGGTGGGACTTCGACCTTGTGTGGCGAGCGACAGTCGCTGTAGATTTCTTACCCCTCTGCAGAGGAGCTGAGCCCTTGCCGCCACAGCGATGTTTGGAGTGGTGGCAGCGTGCACAAACCAGCAAGCTCGCCACTGGCAGTGTTAAATCCTTGCCTGCAGACCAGCTGTTACAGTAACATGGCACGAGTCCCCCGCCGGCAGACAGCCCTCTGCCAACCGCACGGCTATAGATGATACCGGAGTCTCACCAGCTCTATGACGATAGATGAAGATAGACGACGATAGATGATAGACGATAAGCGGCAACTGCCGGCTTAGATAAGCGGTCTGGACCGCACGTGACATGACATGACGACATAGGTCTAGAAGACCTATTTATGTTATCAAAATAGAAGGCAAGCCTCGTGTTGCCTCATGTACTGATAGAAGGATACCACGTGGATCCTATCTCTGATAGAAGCGTACCGCATGGACGCTATCTACGATAGAAGCCCGCCTCATGGACGCTATCTCTGACTCATGTAGATAAGCAGATTAGAACCCAGCTTCAAGCTGAGCTTAGACACGATAGAGTAGCCTTATATAAGGTCGAAGATTAAAGTAGACGTTCCTTACTTTAATCTTACTAGGTTTACCCTTGAACTCCTTGTCCCGCTAAAGCTACCTGCTCGACATCGACTCGTACCTTCGGTGACGCCTCTCACTGTCTGTAAACCCTGCTATCATCTCGGCGTAACCCCTCGTTAACCACCACGAGCTACGTTCGAGTACGCAACCTTTGCTTGTCTGTAAAGGCCGACGACTCTCAGCACTCGGTGCCACTGTCGTGGTTGTCGCTGTTTAGATCATCCTAGTCGCACACGACCGTTTGTCGTAACACCAGCTGCCTTTGAACACAGGAACCGCATCCTGGATCCCATACCAGCGATCTCAGGTTGGCATGGTCATCTTCCTCAAGGACATTGGAGGAGCTGGAGGCGGTGGTGCCTGCATTCTTGGGGGCAGCCTTGACGACCTTTGGAGCAGGCTGGGAAATGTTAGAAGGTAAATTGGGATATCGAATATCAACTTACTGGGATTGCAACATATGGAGTCCCCATCTTTGGTGCAGGACCTACATTCATCCTCATCTCATTCATCTTCTCATCCAACTCGTCGACTTTGATGTATCAAGGGCCTGTCCTGGGCGCAGGATTTGGTGTCGCTGTGCCCTCAAGCTCACTTGCGGCCGCCAATCGTGTGGCAGACTCGCGGCGTTGGCGGGAACCTTTCACCGCAGGAGGAAGCCTTGCTGGCAAAGATTGCTAACACATGTCAGAAAATAAGTGCATGACAAGGTACCAATACTTACTTTAACCGGCACCGCTTGCTCAGCGACCTTCGTGTTTTCTACCTCACTTTCATCATCACTGATAATGACCTTGGACTTTGCATGCTGATGCTTAGTCTTCAGCGCACTGCTGCGACTTCTGGTGCTGGTGGCACGTGGACGTGCACATTTGCCACGCTCATCAGCAGACTCATCGGCAGGGTGTGCCTTTTCTTTGCCTTTGCCCTTCCCAACAGAGACCACAGGGTCCTGAGCAAGGGCACCGCAGGGCTGCGAAAGACCAGCAATAGGAGGAGTTGCTGGCGGTGCAGGTTGCGCAAAGCCAACACTTAGCAGGTAAAGGGGGCTCTGGGTGTTGCGAGGATCGTCTGTGTGGATGTTAGTCCAAACAGGAGTTGTGACCACCTCACAAAAGGATGCATCCAGGTGTTCCCGCAACTCTGCGGCAGCAGAAAGCACAATCGGTGGAACAGACTTTGCTTGCATCGCAAACATCGTAAATGCATTTGACTAGAATTACAATCAGAGAATATCCTACATGCGAGAATTACGAAACTTACTAGTGTTTTTGCCATGTCCACCGTGATTGGCATATTGTGAGGATCGGCAGGATCCAACTGCAAAGCTGTCTGCAGGAGTTCTTCCACGCGCTTGCCTGCCTTGCGGAAGGCGTGGTTGGCAGTGGCGCATGTTGTATCAGTTACAGGAGACATATTTAATAAGTTGGTCGATGTAGAAGCACAATGTACGAACAGGCAGGTTTCTGATGAGCGGCGATGAACTGTGACGGTAATAAATACCAGTGTGATGTGGCTGATTATGTCATCAGCATTTGCCTAATCGGGTACCGAACAATACAAATCGTTGGGTTGCGACCACATCCCACAACTCCACAACACATTTGTGTATGGGTCCTCCATCCCCACAAACCTCCACTATACTCAATTGTGACCAACGTCGAGGACAATGAATGTCAAACATTGCAACCCACCAAGTGTTTTGCATTGAAGTCTACCGCCGGTATCTGGCGGCAGCACTAATGTTGAAGATTTAATAATGAATATTGTCAGCATCTATTTTTAAAGTCCATGTCACATTGATTCCGTGCCATGAATACTGATTGAAACAAATGCCCACATGTTTGCTGACACAATGGATCCTCAGGTACCACAAATGTTCAAACTCTGATTCCTGGGTCACATAAATTAACCTTCGTATCAAGACGATCACAGTAATCATGTCAGACATTCCTGGTTTCACCGAACGTGTGAGTCCCACCAGTGACCGCACCACATTTGATCTCACCGACATGGCAAATATCTTTGAGTTCGCCGCGTCCCACTTGCTTGCTATTCGGATCGCTTTGGAGGACAGTGCGCTTGTCACCTCGGCGAAAATTCGCCACATCATTGCAAGATATCTGATGTGGGAGGGAGAGGTATTTGATTTGCATGTCGCCGGTATAGACATTTATTGATCGTCGAACAGGTCTTTATCCTCCCTTGGGTGGCCTTTTGCGAGGGCTTGAGCATCAGCCCGCCACTATCAAGAAATCTAAGGTTTTTTACAGGGATGCTTGGGATGAGCCAGGTAGAACTGCTCACCGACCAGGAACTTTATGATTCCTTCATGAAGTTGCTGCCATTGCCATCCGGTCCTTGGGTGAGAGGTCGTATCATTCACACATATCCGATGGCCTGGTGGACCATGCCATTCAATACAATGGACTACAAGGAGTTCACCATGAAGTTCCCTAATTGTAATGAAATCAGGCAAATGTTAATCAACCATTTCGCTCAATTGGTCAGTATTTTTCATCTTGCCAAGCATGCCGGCTGAGATTTCAATTTAGCCAGAGGGCCGCTTGTTGGTCACACCTGGAACATTAGTGGAGGCAAGGTCAACGCCGGTGGTGCAACAGCTGGCACGCATTGAAGCCGAAGTTAAGCAGGAGGGTGACTACATTATCGCAATGGTGGAGAGCAAGATAGTGGAGGCCCGACTTGTGGCGGCATCCATGATAAGAATGGAAACCACATTGGGTCAGGATGTGAACGCCGCAATTGAGGCCACGGAATGGTTGGTGAAGTATTTAAAACGAGAGGCACAGTGATTGTAGGATGGCCAATTGTAATTCCATTGCTTGAATACCTTTGTTGATACATTGTAATCAGCATCAGAATTAGTGTAAGGTGATACTGCTAGAATCATGTTTCGGTGGTCTCCAACTTCGAAACATAATGCAACATCCACTGCCGCCGATAAGTTATACTGCGAGAATCATGTTTCAGCATCCGCCACCGCCGATGTCACTTAATCCCTTCATACATGCAATGATGTTTGATCTATAACCTGTCGGCGGTGCATTCCCTACCTACCATGTTGCATGATCGCCACAAGCGGTCATGTGATATATCACTCCCAGCATCAACATCCTAACAACACTGGCACAACATATAATTATTGAATCCGGGATACATGTAGTATAGCCAGTCATAAGAGCAGTCTGCTAGCATGATGATTTTGCTGTTCTAAATTCATCCATCACATCTTCATATAGGTGCCAATACATTTTCCCCTGCCATGCCGCATAGGCAATATGTCCCAACAATTGGGTATCCTGGGCTGTGATAGACAAATGAATCCATTGCTCTGCTTTGTGCAGGAAGAAATTGGATGTCCAATTCATCTCATGCTGCACGAGCAGGAGCTCCTCCTTCCAATGGTCCATCAAGGCCTTCACACGCAGCCAATGCACACAATAAACTATAGGTCATCGGCGGGGTAAGCGGTGAATACAGAATCTGAGCCAGCAACTCACATTCATTCAACCAGTCACTGCTGTTGGAGTCCCTTTCCACGTCCATAGACCAAAACCATGCCAAGGTGTTGTTTCTCTGTCCTCTGGCATTTGGATCTGCCACAGCTGTGCTGACCTTCAGATGCTCCTTGGCCAATGGACAATATCTCTCCAGCAATGTATTGTCAGCGCCGAGTTTACTGAGTTGTATGCAGCACTTTGAATAAATGCTTGCATTGATGCTTACAATCCTGTCCACTGAATGAACTTGCGCCCAAGCTCTAGTAGACGTTGCTTGTGATTTTGCCGCTCTGACAGTGGTGCAGAAAATGACTGCCTTGTCTGCAAGGTGCACTTGGATGTTGTGAAGGGCATCATTCGCCTGTCCCTGCCGCAGAGTAAGTTCCTGTTGAATTAAGTCTGCGGCGCCAATGTCGGTGCATTTCTCTACACCTAGATTGGATGACATGGATATGAATATCTTTTCTGGCTCAAAGAGTCCAAATTCATCGGCGATGTCTTCGTCTGAGTCTTCTTCTAGAACCAGAAGCTCCTGTTCCAAAGGTTGAACATCACCTTCACCAATTCCATCGCCGAGAAATCTAAGACCCATAGCCTCCCAACAATCAATGTCTCCTTGTAGTCTCTCACGACGGTGTACGATCTCTAACAGCTGAAGTTCGGTGGGATGCCTACCCAATTTTCTGACATCTATCTGGAGTGTCACTTGTGCCTCCTCAATTGATATGCCCTCCGCTAGCCATGTTGCTGCTCCTCTGCGAGATGCTGAACCAAGGTGCCGACCTTGTACTAACAACTGCAGTTCATTTTGCTTTCTCGTCGGCGCTGTCTGGCCATTAGTATTGATGTTGCAAAATTATTCTTCCATACCTTTTTGTATTTGGACCTCATAAATGTCCATTGCCTTTGGATCAATCATGCGCCGTTCTTGTGCAAGTTTCTCTTGTTCCTCCCGATGCTGAACTTTGTGTTACAGTAACATGGCACGAGTCCCCTGCCAGCAGACAGCCCTCTGCCACCGCACGGCTATAGACGACACCGGAGTCTCACCAGCTCTATGACGATAGATGAAGATAGATGATGATAGACGATAAGCGGCAACTGCCGGCTTAGATAAGCGGTCTGGACCGCACGTGACATAGACATGACGACATAGGTCTAGAAGACCTATTTATGTTATCAAGATAGAAGGCAAGCCTCGTGTTGCCTCATGTACTGATAGAAAGATACCACGTGGATCCTATCTCTGATGGAAGCGTACCGCATGGACGCTATCTACGATAGAAGCCCGCCTCATGGATGCTATCTCTGACTCATGTAGATAAGCAGATTAGAACCCAGCTTTAGGCTGAGCTTAGATACGAAGAGTAGCCTTATATAAGGTCGAAGATTAAAGTAGATGTTCCTTACTTTAATCTTACTAGGTTTTCCCTTGAACTCCTTGTCTCGCTAAAGCTACCAGCTCGACATCGACTCGTACCTTCAGTGACGCCTCTCACTGCCTGTAAACCTGCTATCATCTCAGCGTAATCCCTCGTTAACCACCACGAGCTACGTTCGAGTACGCAACCTTTGCTTGTCTGTAAAGGCCGACGACTCTCAGCACTCGGTACCACTGTCGTGGTTGTCGCTGTTAGATTATCCTAGTCGCACACGACCGTTTGTCGTAACACTTTGGCGGCATCGACGCTATCATTAAGCTTCTCAAAGGCGGCAGTGCTTTTGGCAACACCTTTTACCGCTTGTCTGAATTTGTGGCAAATGGCCTTGCCTTGATTTTTGGTCAGTCATTTACATTACGAAGGAGATGTAACCCACTCATCCTGATCATTTTCATGAAATTACAATCATTCATTTGATAATCCAAGCACTCCTTTCGGTGCAGCGTCCCCATTCCACGCGCTGAAGGAGATATGATATTTAAAGGAGCCCACAGTGTCTCCATGATCTCACCGTCAATACGTGCAGCGCCCTTGATAAAGTTTGAGGCATAGCGCACATAGCAGCTGTCCTGATGGCCATGAATATGCCAAAGACCTATTCCGGGTATTATTTCCAGCTGCTCTGGAATGTCCAAAAAAGGACTGTCAGCAATACAGTTCTTAAGATACTTATGGTACTGGCAGTTGACATCGTAGAATGTCAATGCACGCCAAATACCATCGGCATTGTGCTTTAATGCCTCGCACAACACATAGTCCATATTCATCTGTCTAAGCGCTGTCGGCGATGTCCTACAAGTATATTGGCGGTTTAAGCATTGCGTACCTTTCTCCCTTTTGAAAATCCACCATTGCATGTCGCACAAAGCAGCCATGCCTTGCACAGGCACAACCTCCGATACCCATTGCTTCCAGTCGGTGACGAGATGCATTGGCTTGATTTACGGCTCTGTGGTTGTTGCATTCGGACCGTTGTATGATATCCTTTGCCTGTGCAAGATAAGCTTTATACACTTCAGTCAACCACTTGAAAAGACCTCTTAGGTCTATTGCTTTGTGGATAGCAAAGGACCTAGTGGGTGTGTTTTAGGATGGTATTCCCAGTATTTTACCCTATGTTCTGGGATGTCCCGGCCCACACTGAAGCAAGTATCTGGGCCATCCCAAGGACCTATTTTTGATCTTTCCCAATCCCAACCGGGATCACTCTAGCATGTCTCTGGGATGTCCTGGGGCATTTATTAGGTGAGCTTTCCCATCATAAATAGGGGTGATAGGGGTCCTTTTTCAGACATTTTGACGGCATAAAAATCCACAATTTGTACATTGATAGAAGGAGTAGTACTAGGTATGTAAGGCCAGTATATGCGCTTCAGACAAGATTTTGATATTGGACAAATCCTGCAGGGATTTTGGCCTGAAACATTGTCCTAAACCTATGAGAAGTCTAATGAGAACTGTGAGGGTGGGTGTGCACCAGTATACTATAGTCAGGATTGATGCATCAAGCAGACTTTATTGTATTTATTTAATTGTAATCAATAGCTATAAAAACTTATTTGATAGCATATATAATGCTCATGAGACGCACTTGAGACTGCTGAGGGAGTGGTGGGCAGGCGCAAAAGAGTGATAGACACACCAAGTGCGGCACTAGTCATTGAGTAATTGAATTGTCTTGCGAGCAACATGCAATAAAATGTGGGAGCTTTACTTGCAAGTCTGTGATAAGATGATGGAGGAGTGTGTGACAAAGGGGGGGTGGCACAGAGAATATGAAGCAAAATGTGGGAGCTTTACTTGCAAGTCTGTGATAAGATGACAGGGGGGTGTGCAACAAAGGGGGGGTGGCACAGAGAATATGAAGTAAAATGGGGGAGCTTTACTTGCGAGTCTGTCATAAGACGAAGGGGGGTGTGATGAAGAGGGGGTGGCATAGAGAATATGAAGTAAAATGGGGGAGCTTTACTTGCGAGTCTGTCATAAGACGACAGGGGGGTGCGATGAAGGAGGGGTAGTTCCATGTAACTGTTCCTGGCTGGGAATGTTGATAAAATGACAAGCCATCCTCTCATTCATGATGGGGTGTTGCCGGTTCGACTCGAGTAGGCCATCATATACAGCTTGAGAGATGAAGTCTCCAGTTTGAGGAGGCAGCCTGTATTGTGTGTTTAGAAAGAGGGCATGGTCCTTGAGATGCTTGACCTCAAAGATGCTCTTCAGGTCCTGGATATCATCCTGACCATAGGGTGGCAATTTTTCGTCATCGCCAATGAAGCAAACCTTTCTAATGGAGGTATGAGAGGTGAAGAGAGGCATGTAGATGCCAATCTCAATTTGGGATGCTATCTAGAGAGGGGGGGAATAGACAAATATGACTAGCTAATTACACTGGTCGGGCTCTCCCATCTACCTCTGTACTGTCCTCTGGGCCTTCCCATCTCCCCTAATTACACTGGTCGGGCTCTCCCATCTACCTCTCTACTGACCTCTGGGCCTTCCCGCCCACCCTAATTACACTGGTCGGGCTCTCCCATCCACCTCTCTACTGACCTCTGGGCCTTCCCACCGACCCTCAAAATGTCACTTTGTTTGTCATGTGACATTGCTAACATATATTTGTAAGGTACACCTTATGCGAAAAGCACTGAATGTCACACCATGATGTTTTGTCACAACTGAGCAATTATTCCAGAACAAACTAACAACAAATAGGTGAAACAATGGCTACACGAAAAAAGTGAGAGAAAAATTGCAAAATTTCTGTTTTTCCACTTCATAGGACAACCAAAATTGAATATGTTCTACAATTTTTTATGCAAGTCATCTTAAAGTCACATGACATTTGATGCTTTCATAACCTTATTATTATGAGGATGGTCTATAGGAGCATGCATGATACAAAGAGTCATTTCCAATCTATAGATCAACTAGAGTACTACAACATAAATCCGACATGTTTAGTTGGGCTGTTATCAACGAGTCATTGAATACATAGCCATCCTTGATGTAATCTGCCTCTTCCCCTCTATACTGATCCGCTAATGCAATATCTTCCAAGACATCCATAAGCTCATCATCACCAAAGCCAATCTCGGACTCCCAATCATCTCGATCCTCCCCTACATCATCTTCGTCATCATAGACATCAGGGCACACCACGTGTGTCGCATTAGCAAGCTCGTTATGTGATGGCCCCCAGCAGTCAGGCATAGGCCACGCACATGGGATGGGACGAACCTTTGTTTGCCACCTGAGTACAAGGTCAATAAACTGTCGAGCACAAAGATCCATGTAATAGAGGATTACGTCGTCATCACCTTCGAAAGTCAGCATAGAGTCTTAGCGAAGCACAAAAAACTTACTTGCATGTGCACGGGCCCTCTGCAGAGCATCCCACTCCACAATAGCCCACTCCTGCAGAGCACAGCGCTCAACCTTCACACACAACTCCTCTTCATTACATCGGTCGATCTCGAGCACCAGTCTGATCGCAGCGCGAGTGACCTCATCAGCTAACCAATCAGGAGGTTCCGGCACGACATCATCGAGTCCAATGTCCTGCCAAATGTCAGCATCAACATCAAGATCGAAGATACCGGCAGGAGAGATAGGGTTAGGCGCTATAGCATTGGGAGGACTGCGGCGTTGTCTGATAAGAGCACTAAGATCCGCACATAGGCTATTGTAGGAGGATACAAGTTTTCGTATTGTAGGATTGCGTCGCTGGATTGCAGTATCGACATGAGAATTAAGCTTGTGTTCTGCGACAAGAAAGTACAATCAGTTGAAGTCCATCTGTAAAACTCAGAACATGAGTACCATTCACTGTTTGCCTGTATGAGCGTTCAAGCTTTTGAACTTGCGCTGTCGAAGTCATTCGCGAATACGGGTCTTAAGAGCTTGAGCATCTAAACGGACTTGTAGATATACATTCCAACGTAATTGGTCCAGACGGGTGCACTGACTGATGCCAAGCCTTGTCTTCCAGCGGCTCAAAGTGTCCACAAGTCTCGATCGGTGAGCACACTCTTCAATGAGATGAAAGTTGAAGTCGACGAGATTGTCGATGTTTCCTGTACAAAGTTGCATTTCCATGCGTCACAACGATCCATCGAGCTCAACAAGAGATTTCTCGATGGAGAGGATTTTCGTGATTTCATCGTCATTGCTTGTCTTCGATCTTCCTGTCGAGATCACACACATGAATAATATGATTAAATCACCAAATGACACTTACGAGGCAGGGGTCTTGTCTGATGTTCAACCTGTAATTTCCACTGCTGATGGACAGGAGTCTCATCCACTGAAAGCTCACATAGAGCTTGCATGGCATTACTCTTCTTCTTAGCGCAGTTATTCCACCTCCGGATCAACCAGCTGCCAAACAAAACAAGGTTTTTGTCATCCAGGTGCCGGACCTGAGCGTCGAGGACAAAAAGTCGCTGATGAAACTGAAAAAGTGGTCAGTAAGTAGGAAATATATAATTGTAGTCAGAGTGAATCTATGGTACAACCATGGCAATTGTAATATGACGAGTGGCTATAACCCGTATGAAACCATTCTTGAAACCAGAGAACACTCACCCCAGAAATGCGTAGCGGAGCAATAAGATGTTTGAGTGCACTCCATGGATGCTCGCAACCTTCTCCATCAGAAAGGCCAAAGCCTTCACACTTGTGAGGATGATATATGATTTGACAGGCCCATTGGTGGCCATAAGTGTGAAAGACTGATATAGCGAAAGTTATCCGGCAAAGAACGGCATCATCGAGGAGCCGGTACTTGAGACAACTTCAATGAAGTTGACAGCCGATGTCATACAAGAGGCCGACGGTCATCTCGGGAGGGATATTATCGAAAAGCTTCTTGATTAGAGCGAGAGCATAGTGCTGCTTTTCTCCCGCCGACGTCATGTTAGCGAGCCATAATACACGATCATAGCGACATAACATGGCCATCACCCCTGTGTCTGCAAAAAATTGGGTGCTAGCCTTTTCACATTTTTCATCAGCAGCAAAGAAGGATTCACTGCAGCCATCCAGCGCAGAGGTCGGGACTCTCATGCCATTCTCGTAGCCATCCTCCTCCTCTTCTGTGGGTCGCTTTCTCTTGCGACCCCGAGCAGGGGGTCTGCCACGACAACTTCGCACATGGGCGTCCATCGATGTCACCTCGTCATCCGAAAGAAAAACTGATCTGATTGGGTTTGGGGGATCTGGACCTCCGCCGTGTTGATCCGATGAACACTTTTGAGTGAAGCACATGTCAATGCAAGTGTGGACGTCAGGTCTACTATATGTTTTATGATTTATTTAGTTGCTGATATTGAAGGAGCTTACCTGAGATTAAGTGTTCCACTTTTTTGCCAATCAACCGAGCCAAAACAAATCGGACAGCGAGACCTTAGATAGTCGCTTGGACGTGTTAATCCCTCGTTGGATGACGCAGGAAGTGGGCAATAATTTCCAATGAGATTTGACAAGTGATCTTCAGCACTCATGCAGAGTACAGAGTACCAATGATAGGTGTTATCAAATTGATGGTGAAGATTATCCTACAATAATATTGATCAAGACGACCAAAATTCAATACAGATGCTTGACTAACCTTGGTGGTAAGTTGATACCCACAGCCAGCCAGAAAGACTTCGAGTGTTTCACACCAAGCAGTCGTGTTGGGAGTGATATGCACAAACAAAGTCTTGACAAACTCCAGCAGCTGGAGGTCCACAGCGAGAGAAGGGGCAATGGGAGCGCAGGCAAAATAACCGCGAGCCAGGAGCTGAAGGGGAGCAGGCACACAAGTGCAACAATCAATTCGTAGTGTCTCAATATCTACAATATTATCAGCAAACCAATAGCCTAGGTAATAAGAGAGACATACAATCAAAAAGTATGCAAGTGATCTTGAGAGCCCTCCGCCAACAAGAGGACCTACACTGAAAGGCAGCAGCTTCATCTGGCTGCAGTTCAATTTGATCGCGGAGAGAAGTCGATTTGCGCAAGTATGCAAGGTATGGAGCGATCAAGGAAGGAATGACTTCGTTTGTCCAGCGTCGCCACTGATTAATCTTCTTTTGGCGGTTGTTTGAACGGGAGGGCGTGAGTAAGTTGCCATTGGAGATGTAGTGGAGTGAGTTGTAGAAAGACAAGCCTTCCTCCTGATGCTCTAAAAGATCCCCAGCGAATGGGGTATCATGCTGGTCAGCAGAGCTGGCATCACCCAAAGGCTGTTGCTGCTGTGACCTTCCTGTGATATTGGGTGATTGTTGTGTGAGTCGTTTTCTTCCGGGAAGTACAAGTAGTGGGGGGGCTATAGGAAGGTGAAAGTTGCTGCTTTTCTGCGGTCGCCGCCTCCTCTTCACCATTGAAGAAGTGACGAGTCTGTGCTGCCCATTGCGAGGCGGTTGAGTAGACGGCCCAGCGATAGGGATGGATAAGACCATGACAAGACAATCAAAGGCAAGCACAAAGCCTGCACTGAGGTCAGTGTCGACACGAAGTCGACTACTGAATGCTAGGAGGGACTCGAAGTCCCAAACTTGCATCGAAAAGGAAGACGATAAAGTGGGCGAATAGGTCAATCAACCTTCGGAGCGGATGAGTGCTAGGAAATGTGAAGAAAGGAACTCTATACCTGTTGATGTGCACTCTGTTCTGTGAAACCAAGATGTTAGCTGGTATGCGGAAAATAGACTTTAATCCCTAGGGATTGGGTATTTGTCCGTGATAAAGTCCACTTACGACCGAAACAACATTGGTAACATATGATGGTATACAAACTGTTGACTAATTGTGGTACATTAATTGCAACAGGTAAAGGGTATGCAATGCCAAAGATCTATGTGACCGAATACAGCAGATGAGGTACAATAGGCGGACAGCCGGTATTGTTGAAATAAGACTGAACGTAAAAGGCACAACATTCCTTCATCCCCTTCCATAAATCGTGCTCACGTCCAGTTTGGTTGAGAGGCTGCTTGAGGGACTCAGGAAAGCGCTCCCATGTCAACAATACCTTGCGGAAACTTTCGAAGTACGGTAAAGCAGCATCGAAAGATGGCGCATTGAGTCCGTCGTTTTCTTGAGGGAAGTCCTTGTTCCAAACTCTCAATGACTTCGACAGGAAAATGCTACAAAGAAGTTCCATCCTTTCCTTCCTTGCTTCCTTGTCCTTACGTGCATCGCGCCCAAGATGTTCATCAAGGTCGAGAAGTTCATATCGGAAACCTTGTTCACAGATTTCGTACATGATTTGGCGCACGAGATCTGCAGGGGGATTGTCGAGAGTTGAAATAGCTATGTCCTTCCCATGCCAATGAACATTTGAGGCTCCTGACAAGGCCCGCAGTGCCGTAACCTCCTTTTGAAAGAGGGCAGCAGTAGCTGCTTTCGACTTGCTAGTCTTGCTGGACGTCTGTGTGTCCAGAGGACCCTGAGCATGCTGAGATATTAAGAAATTGTGCCAGTTCTGGGCCTGAGGAAGAGGTCGAGGGCTTTCTTCATAGACACGTTCTAGCCAGGTTGGACAGCAAGCCAGCCAGTTGGCAAGGTACTTCATTAATGATTGCGGGGAAAGAACGTTGACGAACAATCCCGGATCGGGAAGTGAGTAACCGTCGTCCATTTTGTCCCTGGGATGCTTGATGCGGATGAATTCTTTCTTCGCTTCCTGCAAAGCTGTCTTGAAGAAAGAATTCATTGGCGGCATGTAAGGGTGATCAATGTCAGACCACTTGTCATGGCCAGATACAGCTTTGTTCTGACGGGGAGCAGTGGCATCGTCTGAGGAATGAATGAGAAACAGCGGCCATGAAAGAAGACTGATGAACTTACATGGCGCAAGCTTTGCCTTTGCCTTCCCTTTGTCTATGTGAGCCCTCCCCACTGATGACTCCTTCACAACAAGTTGTTCAACTTGGGGTTTTGGAACGGGCAGCTTCTCAAAGTCGGAGTATGGTTGGCGAACGGCCTCATGGCGCCGGCGATTGCTAGGACATCTGGCGATGATGTCGAATGGTTGAGCAAAATTTTTGACGGGATGGTGGTACATGCCGATGACAAGGTCATCAGGTGGTGTAAATGAAACTACTTTGATGATGTTCATATTGGATTGAACGAGTCTGGCATCGCAAATAAGCCAGACAGGAACTCCAGCAGCGTGCACCTTCGTGGCAATAGCGACATCTTGAGTGAAACAACCCATCCACTTAGGGTTAACATTATGTGTGGTGTCGACAAAACGCATGCGGGGCTCGATAATTTCGTAGTAATCTAGAAGCGCCCAGATATTGAGAAAGCGACACTGATATTCAGCAACGACCATGACAACATTGCACCAGGCCATGGCTTGCTGGAAGTGCTCATATACAGCGTGCATCACATGTACCCACCCAACAACATGACCCTCTTTGTGCATCCTTGTGAGCTTGTAGCTGCTGACCCGCTTGTTGGCCTTCTCGTACAATCGCTTGAGATGGTCAAGAATGTCCGTCTTGAGCTGACCAAAAAGATTATCGGGCGCAAGGGGCACAAAGTCACTCATGAAAGCTGGCCTGAACCACGCATATGTCATGCTCGAGTCGTCCATGTAGGCTTCCCAATGTGGGATTGCGAAACTTCGAGCATATGAGTCATCGTACATCTGTGGCCACTGAAAGGGATCTACAGCCCAATATCTGCCATCTGCTCGCGCTTGAATTATGTCGGATTCGTTGTCGAAGGATTGGGGAATGAACTTCATGTTGGGAGTGGTGATGACTCGGTGCCCATATGTAGCCACACAGAATGCATCAGTAGCAGTGAGATAACCTGGACGGACATCGTCAGTTCAAAGACAGTATAGGTGCGGAGATGACAAAACACACGGTCGCCATCGCGCATGAATGGTTTGAAGACAGGGATGGACATGATAGTGGATCCAGGAATGGCGGTACTGAGAATGAGAAATCACACAGCGACTTGAAGTCACCGAGGAATGAAATTTAAATCGCACAATGACTCGAAGTCACTGATGATTTAAATGCTACCACGAAGGCAGAGTAGGACGGTCTCGAAAGATGTTGCAAAGAAATCTGAATGAAGGCATGATGTCAGTAATTATAGCATAATCCAATAGTGATTACACTTACAGAGTCTTGAGTGAATGAGTCTTGAGTGAATAGAGTCTGGTTAGAGGCTGGATGTCAGTCACGATAGTGTGATCAGATAGAGTACATATGCTTACCCACGACGCCCAACAGCACAGTCTTGAGTGAGATCGCTGGATGCTGAATGTCAGTAATTATAGCGTAATCATACCAATTATGCTTACCGTGAAGGCTGACAACAGTCTTTAGTGAAATCGAGAGATCTTGTAGATGTCTGGGTGTCAGTAACAGCGTGAAAAAGAAACGGTCAAGAAAAACTAAAACGGTTGAAGACAATTCTGACGGTTAAGATGATTCTGGCTGTGAGTGACAATGCTTCAGGAAAAAGACAAGATGCTGCCGGTGGACAACAAGATGCGGCCAGTGGAAGGCAAGGCACTGCTGGTGGATGACAAGATGTGGCCAGTGGAAGGCAAGATACTTGGCAGGCCGGTGGAAGAACTGCTGACCAAAGTCTAAGCAATCAATAGCAGCAAGCAACACGAAGTTGCTGCTCACAGGGCGTCTACCACAAAGGCAGACTATAGAGGGCGCGGAACGGTGATGGAGGAAGAAGTTGGGTGGTGAGCGATGAGGAAAACAAGCTGAGGATGAAAGACTGAAGGACAATCTGAAGTCCAGAATTGTGGGAAAGCCCTTACTTAGTCTGGGAGTGCCCAGTCATGGCCTGGGAGAGCCCGTGTTCAACTTCCCATTTTGGCAATTTTACCAAGTCTTATCCATCATTCCTTCTGAATCTTTCATGACTCCTCATCGTCTGCCCCCATCTCCACCTCATCTGGCCTCATCTGTTACAGGCATCCGTAACACCTACAGGAGCCCCAGCTCTGCCTATGCCAGCCCCCGCTCTGCTAGACTCCCCACGCGGCGGTGCGCCGCCCGCACTTAGAAAGACAGCGGTCTGGACTGCTGTGACCCCGCCCCTGGCGCTATGACCCCACCCCTGGCCTAGACGGCCTTGTACCTGATCCATGGAGGCTGTACGCCTCATGGTCACCCTAGATCAGCGCATGTATACCACATGTCGCTTCATGAAGACCCGGAGCGCCCTTGGCGCCTCATGTACTATGTGCAGTTGCACTTGGCGCTGCATGCTTGATCAGAGGTTAAGCCTCATGTACCTTATCTGACCCTCATGTCTTGTTATAATAGATCCTAGATATACTATAGATTACAGACTGAGCTTGAACACTTACATGTAGCACATATAAGTAGACAGATTATTGTACTTAGACTTTACTTTAATCTACTAGGTTCATCCCAGAACTTGCTCAGCTAAGCCTCCCAGCTCAGCTGCCTAAGACCGCACTTCTAAGTCGCTCCCCACTTCTTAGCCGTATCCGCTAGCCCTGTATCTCGATGAGTGCCGTCTTACCGAGATCACCGGAGGAACCCTTGACATTCCGTCAAGCCGAGAACCACCCTCAGCTTCAGTAGACTCACTCAAGTCGTTGCTGAGAAGACCTATCCTAGTTCGCACACGCCGACCGACGGTCAGCGTAACATCATCGCATAATTGTTTGGTCCGCCTTCAAGGCAGACAAACTTTGCCTGGGTGACTTCGCGTCATCCAGTGCTACCTGGCTGTCTGACTACGAGTCAGATGGTCCTACCTGCCTCAACACTGAACCTTCAACACGGCATCACTTCGCCCATTAGGACTTCAGACTGTCCATCCATCCTCTACAAAGGTGTGTATCCAGTTATCTTATTCTAATTCATCGTCTGCAGGAATTTTGAACGCCTCAAATATTTCCTATTCTCACTACCGATCAGTATGTCCTCCCCACAATTTACTTTATTATAATTGACACACTATACTTCGCAACAGACAATAAAAAGTCAACCTTATCGCATAATCGTTTGGTCTGCCTTCGAGGCAGACAAACTTTGCCTGGGTGACTTCGCGTCATCCAGCGCTACCCGGCTGTCTGACTGTGAGTCAGATGGTCCTACCTGCCTCAGCACCGAACCTTTAACACAGTGTCACTTCACCCATTAGGACTTCTGTCCATCCATCCTCTACAAAGGCGCGTGTCCCACAATTTCATTCTAATTGATTGTCTGCAGGAATTTTGAATGCCTCAGGTACTTTGTATTTTTACTACCGATCAGTACGTCCTCCCCACATTCTACTTGATTACAATTGACATATTCTACTTACAACAGATAATAAAAGTCGGGTTACGCAAAAGCTGGGATCTGGACTGGCGAGTGTAAGTGTAAGCATACCTTTTTGGACACGCTGGAGGAGATCGTTGATGCTGACCATGCGATCATCAGTTCTGCGAGTGGCCTGGAGTCTTACGCCTACTTTGTCCTCTTCGCTGCTGTAGCTATGATGCTTGCACCATGGCGACAATCTTACGTTGAAGAAGTTTATGCCTTGCCACATCCCCGTTCATTGAAGATGCATGTATTCGCTCCATAACTCATCTGGATTCTAGCTTTGTTGGTGTGGACCATCAGTTAGTATGTATTCATTTGCGTTGAATATCGCATTATCCTGATGACATTTCAATTTAACTCTTTTTGTGTGTGTTGATTGGGCGGATTAATAGTTGTCAAAAATTTGTTTTTTGTTTGTATTGGCCCCCTTACGATCAGTTAAAAACCGCAATGTACGTGTATTTCTACAAGGAATATTTCTTCTTCAGACTCGCAATCAGCTTTGTCTTCTATACACTCTTCCATCATCCTGTTAAGACTTCAAGTCTTGCAAAAAAGCTCTAAGACTTCGTGTTTTGCAAGCTGCCTGCTTTTAACATTCGTCTTAACAGCACCCCTTTTCTCAGTATCTACAGTTTAATGGCGCCCTCGACCAGAACCAAAGCCCATCGTGGTGCAACAACTACTGGCACTACAGGCCCCACAGTGTCCGACAGCTCTGTCATGCGCACACGCAGTGGTTTTGCTATCAACCCCCCTACCGACCAAGATAAGTGCAAAAAAATGTACTATCCATCAGCTCTCTCCTGTTCCAGATAACCCTAACCGCCCAAAACCTCATCTTCTGGCCTGACGTACCTCGAGCATGAGCTTCGAAGACTATGCTCAGATCCTTGCTCGCCCTCGCAAACCAAAAGTAAAACCTTTAGTGGACCCAGTTATTTCTGATATCCAGTTGCACAGTGACTGTGCCCCAGGTACTGATCTATGGTATTCGCCAAAACAACTAATGCTAACCCTTTTCATAGCCGCCTCTCCCACCGACGATGAAGATGATGGCATGGGCGACGTTGGCGACAATGATGACCACGACAATAACCCGAACAAAGGCAATGGCCAGGCTGACAAAGATTAGGCTGACAAAGACCAGACTGACAAAGACCAGGCTGACAAAGACCAGGCTGATGAAGGCAAAAATGAGGAAGGCGAGAATGAGTATGATGAGGATGAGGATAATCAGGACTCCGGGCGTGCAAAGACTTCAAAAGGTATATTATATTTCGTTTAATCTACGGTTGTCAAGGCTGATGGGTGTTTGACCACAAAGATAACATAGAAAGTGACAACAACGCCAAGGATACCGATGAAGAACCTGACAATGACGAGAATAACGAGGACCGAGGACGCGCAAAGACTTCGCCAGGTTTGTACTGTCTAATTTTTCTCTTGGTGGGGAAGGCTGACAGTTACCTATTCTACGCAGTCAGGAGACTTTGGGCCTGAAAGGTCAAGATGGTCAACTACAATTTCGATGACAGTTCTCTGACCTCTTCGTTGGACAGCAGCTACACTTCTTTCCACGCAAAACGAGAACACCCCGCAAGATCTGATCAAGTTTCCGCCCACGAGTCAGATGCAGACGAAGACCTCAACCACGACAGTCCATCTTCACCACCTGCTAAGCGCAGGAAGACATCTTCAGCAGTCAATATTACCTCAGTCAACACCACTCGCTCGACAACCATTCGCAACAAGCATGTTCATGCATCTATTTCACGTTCAGCTGACGACCACACTCCTTCTGGCATAGTTTTTGGCCCTACACCAGACAATGAGCCCACTGAGAATGAAGAAGAACTCCCAGGCAATCTAAAGCGAGGCCGGCTATGTCAGGAAGGCATTGACGAGGCTCAGGAACTTGGATGCAAAACAGCAGAAGAAGCTCAGGTCATTGGCGTCAAGTACGGCAAGTCTGCACGCGCTATTCTTATTGAGGCTGGCCTATCTATCAAGCATTCACGATCAGAGTCTGATTGGAATGCCCACCAATGCTGGTTCATGGATAATAACCCTTGCAAGGATAAAGAATGTCAGTCCCCATTTCTATTGTGTAAATGATACTAACTCGAGAGTCTCAGCTATTGTCGACTGGAAAGAACGTCAATGCACACATTATCATGCGATGGGCAAGGATAACAAACAGTGGGACACAATTCGCAACTATAGCATCACTGGCGGCAATATTGATCAATCGCGCGCCAAGACCATCTTGTCAATGAGGGAGGACATCGCAAGAAAGGTACATTTACTCATCTACTCATTCTACATTGTAACTAATGCCACAATATAGTTGTCTGCTTATTCTCGCCTTGAAGGAGTTGAGGCCGTTGGTTGTATATTTGACACCACACAAGATGAGGCTGCTCGACAGGCGTCCGGCTTCATCGCAGGCTCCGACCTCATAGTCAAGTTGATTAATGAGCATCAACTGGACGCTCATGCAATTTTAGATTGGGTCGTGACGGCAACAAAGTGCGCCTTATCCTTCTGGACTTCCTACCTCCTGACATGTCTACAGAGTGAAAGGCTACAACATATCCATTCCACAGTTTATGGGGGGAGTAGGGGCTTATGAAATCCTACTTTCTAAGCCGAATGAGGCTCCCCGCGACTGTTACAGGAGGATATGGCCAATCATGGTACTCAAGAAAACCTGTGAGTACTCAAGTTTTTCAACATTAAACAATTTACTGAAGTCTGCTCAAATAGCGAAGTTTGGGTATCGACCCAAAGCAGTCCAGTGGCGGAAGCTTCTTGACTATGCTTTTCAGTATAAGTTCATGATCAAGAACTGGCCTGATGACGTTACCCCCATTGGTCCTGAATTCAACCCTCATAACCTCAGTTCACAGCATCTCAAGCTGCTCGTCGTCCCTTTCATCAAGCGCAAAGCACATTCCTATTACGAGGCAGAACTCCGGACTGAAGCTGAGAACTTGTTTGAGATAGAGAAAAAGAAGTCAAAGGGCAAGCGCCGAGGTCAGGAGCGCACTGTGGAGGATGTCATGAGTGAATTAGATGTTGATGCATCTGAGATCGAGTTCGCAGCTTGGCCAGATGGTATGTAATCTCCAGGTTTTCATCATTCTTTCCTTATCTGATGTGAACTGTTCAAGAACGTCTCAAGCAGCTCAGTGACGAGGTGCCGGAGATGTTTGACATCCCCTTGGTGACTAGTACATTGGATGTTGTGCTGCGCAAGCTGGTCGACTCTGCAAAATTCAAGGCATCTATCCCTGAGGATATATTGGCGGTTCATCAAGCACATTCACAAGGTCCCATTTCCTCGACTGCAGAAATGCTGCCGGGTGGTCATGAATCTTCCTCCCCCACTTCGAGCTCCCCAGCCTTGCCCTCCAATCAACATCACACTACGATGGCCACGCCAGTGCATCACCGAGAGGGAAGTCATCCTACTCGGCTGCCAGATCTCTTAGATCGTGAATCCCACCTTGTTCGGCCTACAAGGAGAGGAGAACTCGCCGGTGGTGGACCATGACAGGCTAACCTGCCATTTAAGGTGAAGAAAACTTTGCAGGTAAATATTGCGTTACTCCGCCTTCTATCCAATGTTGATGTTCTTCAGGTTGAACCTACATTGGCGCGGTGCATGGAGGAGCATCCCACTCGTTCTCATAATGACACAGACTTGGAGTATGTCTTAACTTCCACAAGTTGCAACAGGTCACACTAACATAATTACTTAGCCGCGAGCCCTACCCTCGTCGTGAGGACAGGAATTTCATTGCCTCAAACTGCCGTCAAGAATATTCGCTTTCACCTCCTGTGTACCCAGAGTGAGCCGAGTCCTCTCGCGCAAGGTACTATCGGCCCACCTATAGATCGCGCGAGACAACTCCTTCTGCAGATAACCGGGACTATTCTCACCCTCAACATCATCAGTACTCACGCCGTCATAATCAGGGTGATGACCAAAGTCAGAGGTTTCAAGTAAGGGGGGCTGGTGACACTCATTGTGAAGACGGGCCTCCGAGGTTTCGCTACTGACATTCTTTAGACAAGAATTACGCTGCCCACTCGTTCGAAACATGACTTTTGCTTTCCTTTGGTTTTCGATCCTAGCACCACAAGTTGTTGTACTTCGTGTACCTCTTCACATCAGTTGCTGTCTCCTGCACAGATGAAGCTTTGACGTGTCTTCGTATTGTAATGCTGGAAAAATGTAGGTCATACGTCTGTCTGCTCTTGTTGGACACTCTGTAATATTACAATGCTATGTGTAGTCCGTTTTGTATTGACAATCCTATGTGTTTGCTGGACTAATTCTGGTGTGATTATATGGTGAATTATCTCGACAGGACAGTTGGTCACCTCCCACTTAGACTCTTATTTTTCTGCGCAGCCAAGCGGGAATACTAAGGGTGCTACATATATAGTACTGTAAGGCCGTAGTAACTGGCATTGATAATATATATCTCGAGTTGATTGACGAAGACTTTATTGCCAGCGAAAATGTGTGCATCACATGACTTGTGAACACTCCGAAGTATGCACTGATTTCGAAGGGGAAAAATCTAGCTACATTACAGGAATAAGTTGGGTGCTGCTCTGTGCAGCTGAATTTTTCAGCCGTAAATTTCAAGTTATGTATTTGTTGGCTGGAGCTCAGGTTGGCAGTGTGTCCTAGAGTTGGAGTTAATTGTCTATCTTCTGAATCAAGCTATGTGGGCCCAAAGTCAACTCAAGTCAATACCCCTGTGTGACTGTGACATGTTGGGTCAATTTGACATTCCGACACTTAGGCATATGATGTTACATGTGACAACTACAAATTTCAACACCAACACCACTGACTTCATGGGTGACAGAAGATACAAGTAAAGTTATGTTATGGTAAAGCTATTGATATGAGAATGCCCAGTTTCTAATAGAATGACAGATGGGAGAGTCCAGATGATGTGTATAGGGTTGGTGGGAGAGCCCAAATGGTGTTGGTAGGGTTGGTGGGAAGGCCCAGTTACTAATTGAATGGCAGGCGGGAGTGCCCAAATGATGTGTATAGGGTCTGTGGGAGAGCCCAAATGGTGTTGGTAGGGTTCATGGGAAGGCCCAGATGACATTAGAGAGGTAGATGGGAGAGCCCGACCAGTGTAATTAGGGTCCACGGGAAGGCCCAGATGTCAGTAGAGAGGTAGATGGGAAGGCCCGACCAGTGTAAGTAGGGTTGGCGGGAAGGCCCAGATGTCAGTAGAGAGGTAGACGGGAAAGCCCGACCAGTGTAATTAGGGTCGGTGGGAAGGCCCAGACAACAGTACAGAGGTAGATGGGAGAGCCTGACCAGTGTAATGAGGGTTGATGGGAAGGCCCAGACAACAGTAGAGAGGTAGACGGGAGAGCCCAACCAGTGTAATTAGGATCAGCGGGAAGGCCCAGTTGCTAATAGAATGACAGGTGGGAGAGCCCAGATGATGTGTATCAGTTTGGCGGGAAGGCCCAGATGACAGTAGAGAGGTAGATGGGAGAGCCCAATTAGTGTAATTAGGGTTGGCGGGAAGGCCCAGACGACAGTAGAGAGGTAGACGGGAGAGCCCAACCAGTGTAATTAGGGTGGGCGGTGTAGGGATTCATTTCTGGCTAGGCTTGCAGAGACTGTTTTTACCTTAGTGTTATGTTTGCACTTTTGTAGCTTACATAATCAAGTTACCTTTTCACCAGTTCTACTATGAGTCTGAGTATTCAGCAAGTTTCTATCATATTTCCTCTTCTCTGAGCCTTGAGCCTGGTCCAGAAACCCTTTAGGGTCGAATAGCAGCTAGGTTCTGCAAGACCCAACATTGTTCAGACTCACCATCTGAATTGTTGTACCTTCAACTGGAGCCCACCGCGAGGGTTTCTTGTGTTTCTAGGCTCTTCCAGCTCTCCAATCATCCCCCAAATTCGCCTATTATCCTACCACAGTCATTCCTTATCAGCTTCTCCCATATTTCCAAGTTTTCAGCATCTTGTCCTCCTCCCCAGCGCATTGATAAGCGTTTTTCTCACGCGTTTTTCGAGCGGATCTCTCGCAAACTTAGGGTCGTATTCCCCACGTCCGTCCGGTCATTTTGAGCCCTCGCTCATCGAATTTGGAGCAGTAGTTGTGGAGTTATCGAGTTTTTGGTGTTTTTGAGAAGTTGAGGGGAGATAAGGGTTTTCTGGGTGCTCAAAGGCCTGTCTCTTTTAGCTCTTTTGGCCATTTACCATCCTTCAGTGGCTCTGTCCATTGCCCCAATCTGCTTCTTGATAGGACCAGCCCTTGTTGCCCTGCACCATACCCCTTCCTCCTCCTCCCTCTTGCACCTCCGCACTTTTTCGCACTTTCACCAGCCCATTTCGCATTGGAACCCCCTCGACCCTATACCCGTTTTGAAGCCCTCATTCATGGCTTTCATTCGCGCCCATCGCCGCCCCGATCCGCTCCGTCGTTCGCCCACCATTCGCGTTTTCCGCCACCCCTCTATTTTATCGCACATTTACACCATTTTATCTATATCTCCTCGCCCCTCGATCGCGCACCTATTAACCCTATACTCGTTCTGACCGCATTCGCCGCCGCTTTCCATCCGTCCGCCCCGCATCCCGATACGTCTGCGCGTTCCTCCGCAATCCGCACTTCTCGCGTTTCCCTCCATTTTCCACCATTTCCTTCATTTCTCACCCAGTTCTCCACCAATCCTAGTCGACCCTATACTCATTTCGAAGCCCTCGTTCGCCTCTTTCTATCCGTCTACTCCCCATCGTCACCCATGCAACCATCATCGCGTTTTTTATCACTTTATCGTCGCTGCTCCTCCAGTACTCAAAGCAAAGTCTGGAGATTATCGTTTTATTGCATTGCCTGACCCTCACTCACTGGCGCAGTTTACCTGGCATACGCGTCAAGGAAACAAAAGGTGTTTGAGGACCCCCAGGTTAGTTTTCTTAGTTTAGCTTAGCTTTGGTTTGCATAGGTAGATGACTGGGGACAGTCATGATTCAAAGTTCCCATGAGATGTAGGGATTCATTTCTGGCTAGGCTTGCAGAGACTGTTTTTACCTTAGTGTTATGTTTGCACTTTTGTAGCTTACATAATCAAGTTACCTTTTCACCAGTTCTACTATGAGTCTGAGTATTCAGCAAGTTTCTATCATATTTCCTCTTCTCTGAGCCTTGAGCCTGGTCCAGAAACCCTTTAGGGTCGAATAGCAGCTAGGTTCTGCAAGACCCAACATTGTTCAGACTCACCATCTGAATTGTTGTACCTTCAGCGGGAAGGCCCAGAGGTCAGTAGAGAGGTAGACGGGAGAGCCCGACTAGTGTAATTAGGGTCGACGGGAAGGCCCAGATGACAGTAGAGAATTAGATGGGAAAGCCCAACCAGTGTAATTAGCTAGTCATATTTGTCTATTCCCCCCCTCTCTAGAGCGCATCCCAAATTGAGATTGGCACCTGCATTCCTCTCTTCACCTCTCATACCTCCATTAGAAAAGATGGGCTTCATTGGTGATGACAAACAATTGCCACCCTATGGTCAGGATGATATCCAGGACCTGAAGAGCATCTTTGAGGTCAAGCATCTCAAGGACCATGCCCTCTGTCTGAACACACAATACAGGCTGCCTCCTTAAACTGGAGACTTCATCTCTCAAGCTGTATATGATGGCCTACTCGAGTCGAACCGGCAACACCCCATCATGAATGAGAGGATGGCTTGTCATTTTATCAACATTCCCAGCCAGGAACAGTTACATGGAACTACCCCTCCTTCATCGCACCCCCCTGTCGTCTTATGACAGACTCGCAAGTAAAGCTCCCCCATTTTACTTCATATTCTCTATGCCACCCCCTCTTCATCACACCCCCCTTCGTCTTATGACAGACTCGCAAGTAAAGCTCCCCCATTTTACTTCATATTCTCTGTGCCACCCCCCCTTTGTTGCACACCCCCCTGTCATCTTATCACAGACTTGCAAGTAAAGCTCCCACATTTTGCTTCATATTCTCTGTGCCACCCCCCCTTTGTCACACACTCCTCCATCATCTTATCACAGACTTGCAAGTAAAGCTCCCACATTTTATTGCATGTTGCTCGCAAGACAATTCAATTACTCAATGACTAGTGCCGCACTTGGTGTGTCTATCACTCTTTTGCGCCTGCCCACCACTCCCTCAGCAGTCTCAAGTGCGTCTCATGAGCATTATATATGCTATCAAATAAGTTTTTATAGCTATTGATTACAATTAAATAAATACAATAAAGTCTGCTTGATGCATCAATCCTGACTATAGTATACTGGTGCACACCCACCCTCACAGTTCTCATTAGACTTCTCATAGGTTTAGGACAATGTTTCAGGCCAAAATCCCTGCAGGATTTGTCCAATATCAAAATCTTGTCTGAAGCGCATATACTGGCCTTACATACCTAGTACTACTCCTTCTATCAATGTACAAATTGTGGATTTTTATGCCGTCAAAATGTCTGAAAAAGGACCCCTATCACCCCTATTTATGATGGGAAAGCTCACCTAATAAATGCCCCAGGACATCCCAGAGACATGCTAGAGTGATCCCGGTTGGGATTGGGAAAGATCAAAAATAGGTCCTTGGGATGGCCCAGATACTTGCTTCAGTGTGGGCCGGGACATCCCAGAACATAGGGTAAAATACTGGGAATACCATCCTAAAACACACCCACTAGGTCCTTTGCTATCCACAAAGCAATAGACCTAAGAGGTCTTTTCAAGTGGTTGACTAAAGTGCTTTATACAGGCCGTCGCCGACCATGAAGCCCCGGCCGTCCATGAGCGCAACTTCATCCAATGGATTTGCGGCATGCATATGCTCAGCTTTGAAGTTTCCATCCATGACCAGGGATCGTGAATAAAGCCAACTCGGCGCCTCCAGATCTGGTGCGGTGTTCGTTATCTCTCCGCCTTCTGCAGTCAGCAATGTGACATTAATTCCAGGCTGTGGACATGCTGGACAAAACAAAGCGAGGTCGCCGGGTTTGAGTTCTTTTGATTCGTGACCGAAGCCATTCCATTTCAATAGCTTCAGATGCCGCCATTGTCTGGCTACCCTCATCAGCTCCCGGTAACGGTCCTGCACATTAACGCAACTGGCAGAATGAAAACCACATTCGGTGAAGTATCCATGTTATCGAAATGTTCGAACTGACAGACGCGACACTACTTCAGTCACAGATCATCCTACCTGCACATGAACACACATAATGCCAGCAACACTGCCTGTCTAACACCATATGCTACCCCATCCCCATAATACGACACCACCATCCTCCTTCCCGACATCTCCATGCTACAAACCAAATAATTTGCTATCAACTCTATAATCTCACAAACCAATCATATTCACTCGCCTATACGGAATCAAGGCCTCCATTGAAATCAGTCAAATCTAACAGAATCGGTCTCTCCACCACCTGAGAAACCACTCTACTACGTAATTTGCACTCAACCCGATTCCTATACCAGTCGCACTTGTGGCCGAGAACGCGTCCAGTAAAACCTTACCTACTCAGTTATTCCATTGCGCGATACTTATAAAGTCACCTTCCCTTCGAAAGATTGCATGTCTAAAACGCGCGGCAGGAACGGCGGACCGGTGGAGGCAAGCCTCACACCAGGGCATTCATGAATCTAGAGGTGCGGGGGGGCACAGGGGCCCCCAAGACTGGATAGTACTGTCATACATAGAGTTACACTCTCAAAGACAAAAAAGTGGATTTTTTTTAAAAAAAAACCGGTCCTGCAGATTGGTTAACCCCATGCCGACAATGTATGAATGATCTCACAGGCACCAGGTGTGGAAAGACGGCGGTAGTTATTCTTCTTAACTTGTTATAATAATTCATTGCCAATGTCCCACACTCCAAATTGTCCAGTAAGAAATTGTCCAGTACCTCAAAGGTGAAGGCTGTCTTGGGTTGGGAAAAGGATGCAGGAAATAATCCCAT